AAATAAATCTACTGCATGTGACTAAATTAGTTTCGGATGGATTCCAAACTAAGAATTATGCAGAAACAGCATGTTTTAACTTTACTAAAGCTTTTGGCGCCTTTTGGAGGTTTCATTTGCGCTTTTTCCCAACCATAAGCGATTGAGAAACAGATGCAAAGCTCTCTTCAACTCATCGTTTTCTTCTTAATCTTCTCTGTTCACCTACAAGACAGGGGAAACCTCCCCTTCCAGGAGCATTTACATGCGTCGAAGCCTGGTCATCACCCAACGACTCCCAGCAGCCGCTCAATAACGGTCAGATAATGCCTGCCAGATCCGCTCCATCCCCGACCGGGACTATCCGAACCCCTGCACCGTAAGGTTTGATCTCGAAAAACCGGCAGCCATAGCAAAATTTGTCAACATTGCGTTTTTTTCTACCGCCAGCATTGCGCAGGGCAAAAGGGATAGTCATATCTCATGAAGTGGAATGTTATTTACACTAAATAATATTGAGTGGGCGAATTATCAATTTGTACGCAACTAAGTTGTTACAATGTCGAACCCTTTCTTGTAGTAGATAGTATAGCAACAGGAATATGTAATAAAAATGTGAGCAAGACTTGCTTTTCCTACAACTTGAATTCAGCATTTCAATACAACAGATGCATCCCCATGATCAATAGGTAGATCTGTTTCAAACAAAAATTGTTCTCTGTATTAAACGGTACGAAAAGTTGCTTTCGGATCAATAATGCCACCTAGAAGATACATTTGCGTAAACTCATGAATGATGATTTGGTCTACTTTATTATAATATCAACAGATCCATTGATGTTTTCAAAGATCTAAGTTGTGTACCTACTTTTTATTGCAATGTTCCAAATCATTTAAGTTTAGTATTTTACTGCATCATTTAGAATTATTTTATCGCTCGCTCTAATGTGCTGATAAGTTATGACTATATAAGTTGCGATTGGCTTCATGCCTAATAGTTGTATACCCTCTAGGATCCTTCAGAAAACGATACTCTTGATGATCTTTGTTGGTGTTGAATTAAATATTATACACAATGACTTGCTAGTTTATATGATGTCTTTTTCTGCCGCCCATCCACAAATCATGGTCGACGGAAATGAAATTTAGTTACCATCCAATCGACCAAATTAAACTAACTTTTAATTTTAATTAGATGCACTATGGCGAGGGTTCCCCACTCGTCCTCAAGTTATATTCCGTTACTTTGAATGTTCACTTTGATTCATTTAATAGTCAAGTGTACCTAGGTAAATATAAAATCATCAATCAATTTTGGGTATATTTTTTGTACCTTGTTGATTACTTATTGAAACTGGGCAATTGTAGGGAACTGAATCTCAGCGCCAATTCCTTCATTTATTTAACTACCGCGGAATGTTGTAACCAACACCAATACCAATAGACTTCGCCACAATTCAACCCTCCCCATTAAGGGCTGAAACCATCGCAACACTAATGCAAGTTGTAGTAATTCGGAATAAATTTACGTAGATACCAAACTAAATTGATTAGACACATAGGTATATTTATTTTTTTGAACGGTTGTCGTCACGACACTCATACTCTTTATTACTTTAAATTGCAAATCCAGATAAAAGCAGAATAGGTATTATTGTTATTACGGTATACTTCCTTTAGTAAAAAATTACCAGCAATTTGTGAAAGATACGCACTCAATGATGTGCTGTTTTTTGCCATAATTTTTGTTTGATGTTTGAGAGGTACCTACATTTTTTTAATTTCAAACTAACTAATTGCCTAATTATTTGCGTATCTTAAAAAACAAGAATTACTTACCGTTATTAACAAGACAATGGCATGTATCTACTGTTTTGAAAACACTTTTTTGTTGGAAACTAAAAACAATAATTCAATTGGCTGCATGAACCAAAGAGAAATTACTTAATATTCGGGTACTTACCGATAGTAAAATAAAAAAATACGTGGCCTTTGTAGTAACAGTACGCATCTGTTACTATTAATTCAATAATCGAATGACAACCGCATTATTCTTCAGCCAAGGGAATGGTTGGCTTAGTTGCATTTGATGATCCAGGTAACAATAAAGCTTTAATAAAAACGCACGCGTTTCGAGCAAGGCTGTCATCATCAACGAACGATGTAAAGGTACGTACAATTCTTGGTCTATTTATACTAACCAAGTGAAACGGAAAGTAATAGTTACGGTTTCTAAAGAGCGTTTGCTTTTGCAAACCTCATTACACTTACTATTAATCTCTTAATATTTGTTCGATTTATTCTTCAATTTCATTAAACAATGTGTTCACTGTTCAAATATAGTTACATTTCATAGAGAACGTCAGAGAATCGAGTGAAACTAGGTATCTTAGTAGTGGGTTCGTTAGAGGCCATTTTAGGGTGCTTATAGGTAGGAATTTTTTAATATTCGGATTGATGACAATTTACAACTCTAGAGGTTTTTTGGCTTATCCCCAATTTCCTTAAAAACCGCGAACGCTAAAAAGTAAGGGAAAGTACAGAAAAATACATTCGAGTGGGTTCTAGTAAAAAGAAAAAAAACATCAGGCGCCTCCTCTTGTACCTATAATTACTGCGCGTCTTCCATAAACTCAACAGCTGTGTTTACTTTGGGAGAAGACTTTCTACTTTGATAAGAGGACAGAAAGAAGGGCAGTAGTTGGTAGAAAACGGTAACATTAATTTTTAACCTCCCTCAGGCCCCGTCGCTCACTGATCTCGTAAAAGAGTCGCACGGGAAAGTTATAGCACATCTGTGGTTATAGTTTGTACAAACCAATTTATTTCGATGAGACCTTTCATTAGAATACCAAGGGTAGAACATGTGTTTAACCCCCCCCCCCCCCCAAACAATAGCACATTTTTTAATTCAGTGACTGAGGTTGAACTATCATGGTCAAATGGACGTAATATTAAGTCAATTTTCCGGTTCATGTAACATGTTCCTCCTGTGTGTTATTACGTTAATTATATATTTTTATGTTCGTTTATTTTACTATTTGCCATAGAATTGCCAAAGAAAATTACAAATTTCCTGAAAAGTCCTTATGAGTATGCTCTACGTATGCGAGCCCAGACGCATATCTATTGGACCAAAACCAATAGATACTACTTTAGGTAGTAGGTACCTTTTTTGTATATTTTATAATTATTATTGTAGTTGATAAAAGTATTAGATATTGTTGAATAATTGGCAAAACCACATAGTATCAGACACCTAAGCTTAATTTTATTGTATTGAGTGTTATTAAATTTATAATACTCTAATAAATTGTAATTCAGAAAATGATATTTTGATCTAATACCGTTACTGGGCTCGTATATTCAAAACAAAAGGTCAATTTTAAGATTTGTTGGAAACTGATACGACGTGATAAATGATAAACTTTATACTTATGTACCTATTGTTCAAACACTTATTTGACAAGTCGTAAAACGTACAATCCATATTGTTAAAGTTACAAGGTAAATTTTCGAGTATATTCACGAGAACTCCATAAAACCGCATGAGTTTATCGTAATTAATATTTGGAAGTGGTGTCCAATACTGACCAATCGACTTAATTTCACCCCATTGTATTATACGCAGAATGGTATCTTAAAATTGTTCGAGGTGGTTCTGTTACGTAGTGGAGAATAATTTTTACCCAAATATCAGTCACCTAAGGTGCGCAATATTCACTGTAAGTTTGGGGCAGGACCATCAGGTATTGAATCTTAATGTTACATGGACATTTTAAATTCCTGGGTAAAGAATCGCTGTAAAGCTGTAATGCCGGTAATTCCTGCACCTATTCATTTTTCTTGATTTTGCAGGAGGCTCGCGATTTAATGGCACTTTTTTTCAGCCATGTTAAAATAAAAGTATCCTCTTTTCAGAAAACAACATTTTGGATGCTGTTGTTTTAGACAATTTTCATTACAAGAATTCGCGTCTGATGGCACATTTTCCATCGAAATTTTCGACAACGTTCTATTATACCTATGTCATATTGGCATTGAATAAAAGATTACTTATTCAATGATATTGGTCAATTGTACACGAAAATTGTCAGCCAAGTATACATCTTTCACTTGAATTTGCTGTTTTGGGAGCATCTTGTATAATTTTTCAGTTTAAAGTTTTAGAGGCAATCGTGTAGGTTTAGTTTGGTTGAACTACGTTATTTAATATAACCATATAAAAACTGTTCGTATGTGGTCATACTTTTTCAGTGTTTTTATATCTGTGATATAACCCTACGTAATTTATTCGTCACATCAATCACTTAAAACAATTAGTTTTTATTTATAGGACATAAAATACCTAACATAAATTGTAGGTACATCGTCTTATTGCATAAACTCTTATTAACTGATCAAGTATAGGTAAATAAAAGAAGTATTTCAACGGGTTATTGCAATCCTCAGTTAGGCCTATGTGCAATACATAAACCATATTAGATATCGGCGGTGGAATCGGTTCAATGTTTTGGAAGAAAAGTATCCAGCACACCGAAATACAGTCGCACTTTCCAGAATCTGCCAAAAATATACCATGTTTAACATCAAATGGGTCAATTAGGTACTATTACCCAAGTAGGACAACAATGTCATTACATATCGAGCTTATCTATTTAAGCATTTCTAAAACCTTGAGGGGTTCATATAGGTATTTGAAGTGTATGAACGTTAGACCTATAGTAAGGTGCTATGAATCTCAAAACAATGTTTTTGAAAATTAACTTGACCGAATCGAATTAGCGTTTTTTTTCGCATTTCTACAGCCGATTTCAAATCAAACGGGCAATTTAATTAGCAATTAAACAAACCTACAACATTCCGTTTAGGAAAAAAATGGACGTTCTACCTTTTTAGCTTGTGTCCAAAATCTAATAATAGTTTTAGCGATTTTCATTAAACGGCAAACGGTTTGTAATGGAATCGTAAAAAACTAGCTGCTTTTATCACTAGACCTTGAAAATAGTTATATCAATAGCCGCAACTAAGTATCTGAGGAGTATTTATTGCGCACATGTCACCTTGATAAGGTGGACGTAAACTTTGTTTTAACAATTCTTCTAAGTTTGTTCGCTATTGGACCTTAGTCTAAAGCTAAACTAATGGTGTACTCCAATGGTAAGTAGTTGCAGCTTAATAAGAAATAATATCAACCTCTTTAATTTGATTTTTCCTTCAGCAAGCAAATATAGTGAACCAACATTCGACTGGTGAAAAATTTCAAGTGCACTTTCGGTCCATTTTATCTTCAGAGACTTACTTTTCTATCTGGTTTGTTTTCAAAATTTCGGAAGAAAGTTGTGCCTAAGCAACTCTTATCCATATCATTGATACATGCCGATATCATGTTCTTATCTGTATATCGGTAGTGATTTCCGATATAACGTCGCTATCAAGTCCTTATCTGGGTGAGCTACATGTAGGTATCTTTATCAATAGGAATTTGTTGCTACTGCCTTAGTTTCGGGTTGCCATTTAAAAAAATATGTTCGGTCGGACAGTTTTAAAAATGTGCACCATCAGAGTTGATATACTGTAGATATTTAAGGTAACTGTCACTTGTTTGAAGTTCAAAATCACTGATAGTACCTGTTCAATATGCTTTCATCTTCATTCCAATTGTGGACAAATTTCGTATTGCTCTTAAATGTTTTTCTTTATATTCCGAAAAAGGAAGAACAAAGTTTCCCACAGAGTTTATCAACGAAAAATTGCACTTGAACAATTTACAGAAACTGAAGTGTGAAATTCAATATCTCACTTAGGTATTCAATAAGGAATGTTATTAACCTTGAGCAGCAATCATTAATCGTACACAATTTGTTTTTAAACCGCTACTTGCCAATAATTATAAATAAACCCCTTCATATCGAACATGAGCCGTTAGTAGGTAGCTAAGTACCCCCAACGGTCCCAACATTAATATTGTGTATTTCTTATTTTTTCCAGATTAAAGGCAATTAACGGATTTTGTATCTACTGTGAATTAATTCCGGACTTTACAATGTACATGCAATTTCTATTGATAATTCTTAGTATGCAAACAAGTTTTGTAGGTAAGTACATAATTAAACAATTCCGATAGTAACGAACAACTTGCATTTTTAGTATACGGGAACATTTCAACTGATACGGAAGTACCACTACCGAACCCATTAGAGGAAGCGGAATTAGTTCAAGAAAACGTTCTTAGACAGATCTCCGTGATGTTTTTGATGCCACGAGCGAACAATTTAGACTGTGATTCTAATTCGTCCAGTGACTTTCCTAATTTCTTTACGGACGAACAACGAAAAGACGGTGCCATTGTTATCCCGTTTCTGGTTGGCATTTATTGTTTTACCTTATTAGCGTTGATTTGTGATAATTACTTTTTGCCATGCGTTGGGAAAATTTGTGAATTTCTCAACTTATCTCAGGTGAGTTATTATTTATTTATTTATCTGCACATTTTTATGTAAAAATTTTTCTGATTCAATTCTCGTAAATAATTATTAAAGTAGGTAAGTAAAAAGAAATGAACAATTGTTAAATGGGTACAAACATATTTTGCCTAAAATTTCAACCTTCGATAAGATAATAAAAATTTTTTTATTAATGCGGGTACATTTTTTAAATTTTAATAAAAACAGTAACATAGTATAGAAAAATAGTAATATATCCTATATGAATCAAGTGAAACTCATTGATTTTGTGCATGTTATTTGGTGACATCTACAGAGATTCCATAGACGATTGGTTTCTGATTAGAGAGTACAGTGGGTATCCATTTGAAACTTACAATAGAATTTTTTATAAGCAATTAAATGAAAAAAATGGATTCTCTGTGCATGGGGGTTAAAATGATGCCACTAGACGGTTTAAATTACAGCACCGTTCTTATCATATATATATCTTAGGGAAGTTCTTCAAAAATATTCGGTAAAATTTATGTATTGCACCATGGTCATATTATTCAAAACGATCATAAATTTCTTTAAGAAATATGTCAGGCGCGGTATATCTCAGCTAGACTATATGCTTCAAATGGATCTTATCGGGAATGGGTTTTTCAAGGGTTTCTCAAATATGGGTGGCTAGGAGGACATTGCAATTTAAGTTTTTTATATGAAAACGAATGCTAGTAGATGTGGGAAACCAAGTTCTTCAAAAGTTTAGTCGAACAGACTAAAAGGTGAATAAAACTGGACTATTACGTTACGCATTTCGTTTAAAAATCTAGCCGTCAGTATCGATTGGTTTGACATTGAATTAAGATTGTCAAAAGTATTGAACGTGTCATTTCAACTATTATTAATTTTATCTTACTTGCATATCTCTTTCCAAATCAGATCGTTTACCAAAACTATAGGTAACCAACATTGGCTAATGATTCTATTTAGTTCACCAAGACTAACAAATTCAGATAGTCAGGCCAGGATCTAAAAAGTTTTGAGTGACAGCTGCACCCCAGAAAGTTTCCACTCTTATACAGGAGTCAAAAATAACAACTCTACTGCAATTGTTGGCCGAACATTCTTGTGCAGATAAAGAAAGATTTGTTTACATAGCATGACAAATTATTACGTTATAATTGATGTTTAGCTTCTTGAATGGGAAGGGTTCTCTTTGCCCATAAACATTCAAAAACCATCTGGGACATATTCAAAATCTACGCTATATAATGCAAGATGAATCAATCCTTTACAGATGTTGATTCATTAACAATTATGTTTCTTCCAGACGTTCCTTTTCTCAGTACCCTCCTTCGGCGCCGCTATATTACGTATTTAAAGGAATTTTTTTCTTCGATTATAAACATAGCTAGTTTTGTAATTACTCAAGGGTTGTTGTACTCTGGTAGCTGGATTGGATAATATTTTTTAGTCAAGTTGAACTATCGCGGTACCTATGTACTTCGGATTCTGATATTATTTTGGGTTTACTACTGAAATACTACAATTATTTTTTATCTCCATCACCAATTTTTTTTACATATTTAACTATTGCATCTTGTATACCTAGAAGGTGACCTGATTTTTACTTAGGTATTTTTTAACCGCCTTTACTGATAGGTAAGTCTATATCTAAAGTAGGTGCGAGATGAAAATTCGTATTAAGTAGTTAATGGAATGTTACCTATCGAATGCGTGATTAGTAAGTATTCTGAATATTGGAAATTTTTATTTTAAAACAGTCATTTTCATATACGTTTCCTTTTGGCTTTTGTTATTCCTCTGCTCTGTCGTGCACTCATGTCTAAGATTTTTGCAATACGCATTTTTGGAACAGTTGTAATGAGTTAATTAAGTCATCAAACTTTTTTGAAGTATTGGTCCTGTGGCCAGCGGCTCAGTGAAACTGAGTCACTGGGTGTAGGTACCTATAGCTGTTGGTGGAACTGTGACTGGGGCTCCGTCGAACTCTGCTTACCAATGCTCACAACATTCGCTAGAAAGTAATTCGCATTCGGACCATTCTTACACATACTTACCGCAACCAGAACAATTCGCACCCGACCTCTTCGTGTTTGAACAGTTCGCTTTCAGAAAATTTATTCGTACAAGAATAAACACACCCAAAGGAATGAAGTAACCCGAGCATGCATATTATTTCTGTCCTGCTTTAAGGGGTTAACCCACGAAACCCAAAATCGCTTCTCCCGGAATATTCATTGGAACTCCTTATATAAGAGTGGGATTTAAGAAATTATTTTAGAAAGTCAGTTTTAGTTTGGGGAACCAATTTTTTTTCCATCGCAACATCAATACAAGGATGACCAACACTTTGCATAAACAAAAGGGGCAGTTTAATGAAAGCTTGAAACAATAGCACAGATTAAATACAACAAATCTGTGACAATAGTGTATGAATGGACCGTTTTCAAAATCGAAATAGGTTCAGGTTGATGATTTGCAAATGATGACTGTATTCTCTTAGACTACTTATTCTGTAAAAGTCATCTAAAACTAGCATTTACTCTGTATCTCTTTATAGCGTCACGAATTTTTGCGCTTGTCTTACCTTTGCTTGTTCTTATAGAAAGAAACAAGGGTGCGGAGGGAAGCAGAGCAAGATTTGCTTGAAAACACTGTTTGACAAAAATGTTCCCAGACCCGTTTCGGTCTAGGAAAGGGGCTAAAGTACTGTATTGGTGAATTTGCTTCGAGAAAGTAGGCATTCCCGCCCGAGCGATTTCAGAAAACGTTTAAGTAATTCTCGTACGATGCAGGGTACGTGCTGAAAAAAATGACAAATAAACACCATAATGCATATTTCAAAGACACATCACACAAGTTGAAAAAGTGTTGAAAAATGCCGATGTAAAAAGAGACGTAGACAAACTTACTGAACAAATTTGAATGTTTCAATATATTATTTCGAAATTTGTCGTAGGTATATAAATATAATCGCGACCAAGGGAAAACTCTGAATATTCGTTATATTTACTATTACCAGGAGTTGCACGTCAAAACAGATAGCTATTTCAAAAAACGTTAATCGAGAAAGAGGTTTATTGAAAATTATCAAATGACACTGCGTAGGTGATATCAGAACCGCCCAAATGTCTCCTCTTTAGATATAGTAATGATTACAAAAATCATTGTACTTTTGAACATCTATTATAGACGACATAAGTGCGAAAACACGAAAACAATTGGTGATCTAGGAGGCAATGTTTTATCGTGCATCTGCAGACTGGCGAAGGAAGGCATGGGGATACTTCCAAAATTAACATAGATATCCGTAAATCTTTACATCTGCCTTTTTTCGTTCAAATAATAGTGACTCCAAACCATGTATTTTATCTGTTGCGCGTGACCAAGTCGAATTTTTGCCAATATCATCTCCTTACACTGCTCCAACGACCTTCTGGTTAAAAAAAAACTACATCTTGGAAATCCTAGTCGTGGTACCTACATGTTTCATTTTACCATTGGGAGCTTTTTATAAAAAAATCGGTTTGCTATTTTGGCTTAAATTAATTTGTGTTTTATTACTTTTTGCAAAGGGAGTACCTAATCAATAAATTAATCAAGCATTACGTGTTTTTTTATAATTGAACTTTAATACGAAGCGAATAAACAATAAAATAATTTTACAGTCATAGTTATATCTTGAGATAAAAGATTATTTTGGAGACCGGCACTACTTGCGTAACACTCAAAATTGTATACCTAACGATACGGTCTGGTCTATATTAGTATTCAATGAAGGTCTTACGAAATGGTATTTTGCCAAGGTTGGTTGAAGAAAAACGGACACTGCGCACCGTGTTGTTATGCATTAGTTATAGTTTATGGTTTTTAAGAAATAAATATCTCAAATCGTAGTACTGTGCATATAAATTACAACTGACTACCTGCCATTTATCTTGGAAATCCCGTCCTTTACCATAAATTAATCTTTAATATACGTTTCCAGGATGTTGCCGCCGCCACTTTTATGGCAATGGCTACTTCGGCGCCCGAACTTTTCGTCAACGTTATTGGAACCTTCGTAACCGAATCTGATTTGGGAATTGGTACAATTGTGGGATCGTCGATGTTTAATACACTGGGGGTAGCTGCCCTGGGTGGACTAGCGGCTAAAGCGGTAAGACCTCCCCATGCGTAATGTAATAGTTTGGTAGATTTACTTTTAGCCAATTCAACTTGACTGGTGGCCAGTCTCGAGGGACTGCTTCCTGTATTTGGTGTCGATAGTCTTACTGGTTGTCATGTCATGGGATGGAAAAGTATTCTGGTACGAAGGCATGATTTTGTTTATAGTTTATTTTATATACTTTACAATCATGTTTAACAATAGTAAAGTTTCCAAATTTTGCAAGCGCATCATAAAGAAATTACAAATGAAGCTCAATTCATCTGCAGGTGAATAGAGGTACTAATCTCAGCCGTTGCTGATATATCAATTCCAGATGCCTTTAATGACAAATTCCGATTTGTGCGTGATAATTCGACGAGTATTAATCAAACACCTGCGTTGTATTTAGTAGAAGAACACGCAAAACGCTTTACGCAATTTAGCATAATAAGTGATATAAACAGCAAGGATGCATCGCTTTACAGCGTAGAAAAAACGAGTGATGAAAAGAAAACAGAAAACGAAGCTATCAACGTTTACATCGAAATCGACCCAACAAAAGTTATCTCAAGCGATGAAGGTATGACTAATGCTGTCTAAAATGTATTATTGCAAACAAGCTTTTAGGTAGCGAAAATATTAGCACTGCGAAAAAATTATTCAAAAAGTTCATGTATATCTACACATGCCCTTTAAAGCTGTTCCTGTTTTGCTTCGTTCCTGATCCGATGAAGAAGCCAAAACTCTTCCCGCTTACCTTCATCCTTTGTGTACTTATAATAGGTGCAAATTCTTATGTAATCTCATGGATGATAACCATAATCGGTAAATAGCAATATTAATTGCCACTGTTGATTACCCACGCTTTTGTAGGTAACACTTTCGGCATTTCTGACACGGTGCTCGGCTTAACTTTTTTGGCAGCAGGAGGTTGCCTGCCCGAAGCCGTTTCCATAACCATAATGTCCAGAAAAGGTAACAATTTTCGTAAATTTCAGGTGTAATGGTTTTTGATTTAAAGGTGAGGGCTCAATGGGTATATCCAACGCGTTGGGAGCGAATTCAATGAACATCCTTTTATCGTTGGGCTTGCCTTGGTTTATTAAGACGTTAATCATGGAAACCAGAAGTGATAAATTTGTGGAGATAACATCGGGAGCTATCGAATATACTATTTTAAGTCTTGTGTTGGTGGTAATCGCTTTATTTATTACATTATATTGTAACGGCTTTAAGCTACAGAAGAGGACTGGTATTATTTTAATTGTTATTTATCTAATATTTTTGAGTTGTACGTTAGCAACAGAACTAATAATGAAAAGTTCAGAAACCTGTGAATGATAGTGATAACGCTTAACCACTTTTAAATTGTGATATCATACAATTTTTATAGTATTAGGTACTGTTGACCTTACTACTATAGATTATGTTAATCTACGAACTGTGTGAATAGCTTGAAGTTTTTTTGTAAAGGAATTTACACCAAATATTAGACTTAGGAATGAAGATGTAAGACGTTGAAAGATTTGTGACTCATTTTTTAAGTTTTTGTAATAAAACGGAAATTTCACGGTTTGTTCATTTCTTGTAGGGCTCCTGCCAGCATGCGTTCAAATCAGGCAGTGCACGTCAGTTGGGTAGCAAACTGCTCGTCTGCAAGAAATATTGATGTACAATTTAAGTTCAAATTAGCGCCGATAATATAACTAGAACATAATATGTACCTACACAGATCCAGCTTCATTTATTTATTATTTATTTGTCATTAACACGTCAGGTATACGAAAAAAAAACAGTTTAAAAAAATTAATTGCACAGATGACTAACGAGTACACACAGATACACGAAAGGTATACACACACTTAAATAAATAAATATCTATAAAAATTATTGAATAGGTCACCAGGGCGTATGTAAATATTTAGTTATGTTATAAAATAAATGGCTTAATCCATTGCTCTTTAACGTTCCTTGTGAATTTAAAATAGGTATACATTCTTGGGTAGATACTACCCATACCCATCTATTATTACGTAGCGAGAGTATTGCGAGAAGCTACTTTATCAAAAACGTGGAAGTCTGAACGTCCGACCGGTACTTGTACATCCATCCATCCCATCTCACTTAAAAATGCTCCTTTGAGATGTAAACCAAGAATTTATTTGATACACAGATAGGTACGCCATGATTAGATTTGTTATTTCAGAAACACATTATCAAAACGTTATGCTGCTGAGTACAAAATGGAGATGCGGACTACGGTTGCCTCCCAACCATTGCGTTGTCAATCTCATCGAAAATATAAAGTGATACCTATTCATGTAGAAGTTAGACATAGGGATTTCCTATAGGAATTTCGTATGTCTACTTTTACATGATATAAAGTCTCCTGAAAGACGCCTAATTTTATGCAACCAAAGTAACTACCTACAACAAAAATGAGGATCAGCCTGTCATATTAATTAATTTGAATATTATCGCTTTGACTTCCCTATTCTAATTTTGGTTAGTGTGCGATGTATTCAAGTAAAGAAAAAGTTGATAGTTCCAATTGGTATAGTGCCGATAACAGTTAAAGGAGCTTAAGAGATTTATTTTCTGTGAAGCTACAGCAACAATAATCAAATTAATAATTAATATAACAGCCAGATCTTTATTTGTTTCAAGAAGTTATTTTAGTTGCATAAAATTAGGCGTTTTTCAGGAGACTTTTTAACATGTAAAAGTAGACATAGGAAATTCCTATAGGAAATCCCTATGTCTACTTCTAAATGAATATCACTGTATATGGGAATTTTCAAACAACAGGCCGTTGGTGCAGTTACACCTGATATGTGGAAAGACTTGTTATCAAAAGGGCTGGTGAACGGCGCCTCTGGTGCTTTCATGGAGTAATCCCGAAGGATGCGTCTTCGGTAAAAATACTATGATTCGAATTTACCAGGACGAAAACAGGAAGATCAGCGAACAAGTGAGGCAAAAGTTTAACGCCCTTGCGACATTATCCAATCAGCTAGAACGATGCACGTTGATGTTTTTAGAAAAATATGATGATGAATACTGCTACATAATTTGAAATATTTTGTAGATGTTTTTTGCTTTTGTTGTCTTTGTTAATTTAGTTCGTGTATCTGTGTGGGCTATGTCAGGGTTCTTGTCCCAAGAAGGTTTCTCTGACCTCGCCTGGTTGTGTGCATAATATATTTTATATGTTCTCGTGTTTTCTTAAGCCCAAAGTTATGAGTTTTTATGCAATTTCTTTTCCCTTTTGTGTATAAAAAGAACCATCAGTTTTAACACCGACTGCTATCCAGATTAGAAAGTGTCGTTTTGACATGAAAGTAACGGTGGCGCTGCTTGTTAGTACCTATGGGGTATTTTTATTCAATGGTGTATTATTACCCCACCCCACCTTTAAACCCAAATCTGAGGGGTGTTACTTATACGTAAAAAGTAAGACTTTTTCCTTTAATTCGATCGATACGTAGTTTTCGTTACTAGCAAACACAATAACATCTTCTAAACAAACTTATCTAAAAAATTACGTAAGTAATAAAGTTTTCGCCTCAATCCATATTTTAATCAATGGAGGCGTAATTGTCTAACGTTATCTATCACATTTTTTTATGAATACAAAACATATCCCATAAAATATCCTTCTAAGCGTATAAGCCGTCATCAAAGTACCTTAATATATTAATTGATGGTAATCACAATACTTAAGGTGTTCAAGATATTTCGGAGATCATTCTAAATTTCAGGTTTTATTAACATAGAACTTTATTTTGTAAGTGTACTCATGCAGATGATTTTCCATTTTCTGTCCTTTTTGATCGCGTCATTGGTTAAATTGTTATGCAACCAAACATGCTTCAAAGAAAATAATTAAAAGTGTGTACGCCACTGTTTTAAAGTATGCGCAATGCGTCTTGAGCCTGTAGCCACAGCCATTAAATTCCAATCTCAATATAACCTCTAAAATCTAAAGTTATTTTGGCGCTTTTATTTCATAATATACATACAAGCTTTAACTATTCACGTATTTTTTTTATACTGCATATTTGTTGATCGATGTAAATATGTCTCAAGTAAGTATTAAATTTACCCTCGTTTGTATCATATTGGAAATGTTTTTTAGGACATAAGATCATTTTTCAAAGCGCTACCATCAAACAAATCCAATTCCACCACTTCTAGTACCACCGTTAGTAAAAATAAACGTCCTGTAATAACTGAATCAAGTGACGAAGATATTGTACCCGTTACCCCAAAACCAGTTAAAGTATCAAAAACTACCAAGAAACGGAAACTACAACAACTGAGCTCAGAATCTGATAGTGAAAAGAATGTCTCCACAAAAAAGAAAAATAGCCCCCAATCGAAGAGCACAAAAAACAAACTGAAATCTGTCGATATTTCTACTACATTCAGCAGTACCCCTATTAAACAGACACCTGTGATTGAAAGACCTGTGCAGGAGAAACCGCCAGAGGAAAAGAAGACTGTAAAGCGTAAGAAAAAAGATAAAGCGAACAGCAAAACTAGCACTGAAGTTGGCATACATAATGACAAAAATTTCGAACAGTCCTTGTTAGATTTGGATGACGATTTCTTTACCGATCTGGATGAATTGGATAAAACCGCCAATGAGATCTTGAAAAATAGTGTCACCGAAACACCTCAAGATAATAAAACCCAAGAAAAGCCGATAGAAAAACCTAGTGGTATGTCATCTTACTTTTTACTTGTCTATTTCTTAACCTGATTCTTTTTAGAACCAACACCCAAGCGCCAGAAAAGTGAGGAGGAACATCACGACGGCGATCCAGATCAAGAAAGACACGAAAGAAAGAGACAGTCGTATGCTTTGTATCAGAAGTATCTCAATCGCTCAGGACCGGCCCATCATGGAAGCAAAGAGTTGCCTAAGGTGTCGTTCTGTTAGTGTCAATAGAATCAGTATGAATTGTGGTTTTTTTAGGGAACACCAACTTGCCTCAGCGGTCTCTGCTTTCTCCGAACAGGTGTTTTAGATTCTCTAGAGAATGAAGAGTTTGAGACTTTGATTAAAGATCATGGTGGCAGAGTGGTGCACGGGGTTTCGAGTAAGTTCATTGTTCAAAGAGAACTAAATGCAAAGAGAAGGCTATACAATTATCTCGACAAATATGTTTAATTTTTTTTAATTTATGTCACCAACACTAGGGTTTTTAGTGTCTATCAATAGTACCACCAAAGTATGTGTAGGTTTCTGCAGCTATGTTCACAGGGTATATCAAAATTATTGTGTATTTCATTCGCTAAACTGAAATAGTAAATATAAAGTTAGTTTTGAGACTCTTTTAAAACCCTTAACAAATATGGTCTCAAATGCATATTGTCATATGCGAATGAAAATAGGGTCTAATGTAGAAATTTAAAAAAAAGATGAAATAATAATATGTTACATTCATCAAATAACCATTTTCTTTTATACAAAAAAACGCACCTAAAATTGCAAAAAATTCCTTAAGCCGCTTGTGAGCAAGAGGCGAAGAGTGCACTTTCAAATTTGTTTTTTTGATTTTAATAGCCCTTATGGACATGTCATGCCTTAACGAGTATACAAACATGAAATAATTTTTAATTTCTGATCAAATGACACCAATACCAAGTCTGTAAGTGGCGTAGTTCCGAAGCCTTTGTGACTCAGACAGGCAGGCATCAAGAGCGCAAAAGTTCACTTTTTATTTTTTGAAGGCGAGAGTGCACTATCAAGTGTTGCAAATTTAGCTCAAAATGTTGTGACCACCTACTTTACCAAAAACTTCAAGAAGTGCAGTCGCTCTTTTTCCAAGGGGTGGTTTAGGGGTAGAGAGTGTTCGCTAAACAACTAAATTGAAAGAATGTGTACGATATTCCTTGTAGCGATGGAAATAGGACCTTGTTTTTGTTTTATCTTTTGGTTCTAAATTGTCGAAATAGGTGTCATTTTTGACATGGTCAACATTATTAATGTAATTTGGTAAACTTAATGTTTTCAAATTAATTAATTGGAGTCTCTTTCATCTTGGGAGATACCGCCGTATATTACTCATCCCTTTTCGTTTGTCCCCTCTCAAACATTGGCCAGGTAAGGCCCTTCACAAATGCTTTTATTTCATGGCCACCTTATTTTTTGTGTAAATTTTAGTTTATGTTAATTTTAGGGGGGCAACTATGTAAATTTGATACGTGCATTTTCTTAGAATGAAAATCTCTTTCAAAAATAAAATAAAAACGCAGGTCTGTATTTAAAGCAGTGTGCGAAATTCTTGACAAAACAGCTTCCTAGCTCAAACCAAAAATCTCACTTTTAGAAGAGTCATCAAACAATGGTAAGTATATGGAAAAAACGTTTCTCACAAAAGTTTATAATTTTCAGATATAGAATACCAATATTCAATAAAAAGTATAAAGTTCTATTTGAAAAAAATACTTGACCCTTAAGAGACGTTTATGTGAAAATGCATAGCATCATTAAATGACCCCCTCCATAGGAAGAATAATTTATATAAATCATTTTTTTATATTCCCCCTAGTTTCCTCAATAATCAACTGTCTCAAGATAAGTGGGACACCCTGTATATAAATTAATTAAGTAATATTGTATGAAATATAAGATTATGGAACTGATAGTCATAACTCACAAGAAATGACTCACCCTCGGCTACACCCCAATTTGTCTTGCTTATGCAAGTCCTCTTAAACCCCAATAAATCATCGCCTGAAGCTGATATCTTTTGTAGGCTTCAAAACTATTCTATATACTGGAACTACTTGTGGCTATTGAACTTGCAAAAGTAAAACCAAAACACCAATAAACCTCAATAATATATTAAAACCTCGAACGCGTTTCGACAGCAAGGCTGTCATCATCAGCAAACAACAAGCTGTTGTATATAACCTGTATTCATTTTATACATACAGACGGAACAAATTTTTATTTTTTAAAAGTTGCCTAAAATGATTTAAAACATCGACATTTTATGAAATCAAAAAACGATGATCGCACTAGCCACCTATCTCGAGCTAGGAAGCTAAAAGTAAAGGGGATGATGTCTACAAAAAAAGGAAACCTCTAATTATGCCAGCCTATATGAGAGAAAGAGTAAAGTAGCAATGAGAAAGTGTTTTTTAAAATATCTTCCGAAAAAATCAGAAAAATCACCGAAAGTATCCGGAATTCCTTCTCTCTTCATTTGCCCGAAAATGCGTAACTTTGCATCCGTTTCGTATCTCTTACGATTTTTGAGATCCCAGTGGCCACACTTGAATTTGGGGCACCCTGTGCAGTACAGTCTCACTAATCCTACGTGTCCAGTATTATTTCCCTGTACCACTGCTCTCCACCTGCGTTTCTAATGAGATCGGTGGTTAAATAAATAAAGAAGTAAAGTAATGCACGAAGTGAATGGTACAGTTGCAATTAATGATAAAAAGAAATTTAATTTAACATGGCGAAAGGCAACATGACAGTTTTGAATATCTGTTATTTATTTACTATCACCCTCATAGCAGCACATTAACATTCGAAATCATTAAGGGCTGATTATTTGAATTTTGCATCAACACTTTCATTTTAGAGAAAGTGAGTTACATTGTGGTTGGTGAGGATCCTGGACCAGCAAAACTGGAGAAGGCTAAAACTTACGGAATTAAACAATTGTCTGAAGATGAATTACTTGACTTAATTAGAACAAAATCCGGTCAAAAACCTTCTTCGAATGACAATACGAATTTAGAGCAAATTTCTGCGGAAAGTGCAGAACTTATTCATAACAACAAAAAAACAACAACAAAGGAAGATACAGAATCCTCAAACACATCACAGAAGTTAGTGAATGGTAAGCACAACGCAACACCATCTAGGAACAAGAGTAAAGATGTAGAACCCATGCCCAAACCTGAAAAGAAATCAGAAACTACCAAAAAACCTAATATTATTGTAATAAAACCAGAACCTAAACCTGCACAAATCCATGAAATCCCAAATGATAGTGTACCATGGACTGAAAAATATAAACCGAGGTCCATAAAGTCTATTATTGGCCAACAAACTGAGAAAAGCAACATGAATCGCTTAATTCACTGGTTACAAAATTGGTACAAAAATCATGGAAGTAAAAACAAACCGAAGCTTATAAAGCCAAGTCCTTGGGCTAAAAGTGACGATGGTGCTTACTTCAAAGCAGCACTTTTGAGCGGCCCGCCCGGAATTGGTACTGTACAAGCAATTGATATCGCAACCCTATTAACTTTTACACCCTCTAGGAAAAACAACAACCGCCACATTAGTAGCGAAAGAATTGGGATTCGATGTGGTGGAGTTTAATGCGTCAGATACGCGTAATAAACGGCTACTCCATGAAGAGGTTTCCCAACTGTTGAGCACCAAATCATTAGCGGGATACTTTACAAGTAAGTTTTTCATAATTTCTGAAACTAAATCTGAATAAAATTAATTACGCGAGTTAGACATTTATAAAATATCGTTTACCTTGTGCTTGTTAAAAGGTGGGTCGGCCCCGACAAGCAAACATGTACTTCTAATGGATGAAGTGGATGGCATGGCTGGGAATGAAGATCGAGGTGGAGTACAGGAGTTAATCTCCCTGATTAAGAATTCCAACATTCCTGTGATCTGTATGTGTAATGACAGAAATCATCCGAAAATACGATCTTTAAGTAATTACTGTTTTGATTTACGATTCTCCAGGCCACGAATGGAACAAATAAAGGTAGACTTCTAGCTTGTGTGTGCATTTTCGTGTTTGTCAATCAATATAATTAGTGAGATGAAATTACACAAAATCTAGTTTCAGAAATTCATAAATTTACATTACCTACTCATAGTCTCTCTTTGTATGTAAATCGAGATTGTTTATATTGTAGGGAGCAATGATGAGTGTTTGTTTTAAAGAAGGAGTCAAAATCAGCTCAGATGCGCTCTCTGAAATAATCACATCCTCCGGAATGGATGTACGTCAAATACTAACCCATTTGTCATTATGGAGCGCGGACAAGAGTACAGACTCAGATATTAAAGCACCTAAAAAGGATTCGCCCTTAGGCCCATGGGAAGTTTGTCGACTGGTCTTCTCAGCGGAAAATCATAAAACGAACACAATTGTCGATCGAGAAAAACTATTTTATTACGATTACAGTATAGCTCCTTTATTTGTCCAAGAGAACTATTTAAAAGTATTACCGCACGCACCAAAGTATGTACATTGACTAAATTTGTAACCGCATAATAAGAAGTACTTTTCAGAAGTGAACATCTGCAACGGTTTTCGGCTGCTGCCGATTGTATCAGTATGGGAGATTTAGTTGACACAGGAATAAGAAGAACCAACAATTGGTCCCTGTTAAACATGGAGGCGATGTGCTTATCTGTGCTTCCAGGTTCCTATCTTAGCGGACACGTTAATGCCCAAATTGATTTTCCTAGTTGGCTGGGTAAAAATTCGAAACGGAATAAATTTGTGCGTTTACTCGGAGAATTACAGGCCCATATGCGAACAAGGTGCGAAGTTCATTTACTGATAATAGATTAAACATTCTCTTGCAGTATATCAGCTAATCGAACTGAAGTGAATTTGGATTACCTTTCGACACTACGCATGAGTCTTGTGAATCCTTTAATTAAAAAAGGGGGCGAGGGCGTTCCCGACTCGCTCAATGTTATGCACAATTACAATCTGTTACGAGAAGATTTAGACAGTATTCTTGAATTAGCGCAGTGGCCTAAACAAAAGGATCCCATGAATATGGTGGATTCAAAGGTATTCACGTGCATATAACGACTAATCTAACCAAAATGTCTGTGTAGGTAAAGGCAGCTTTCACACGTGCGTACAACAAATCCAGTGCCATGCTACCATACGCTGTGCAAACAGCCGTATCAAAAAAGAGAGGCGCTACCAGTAACGAAGAGGAATACGGTCTTGGTGAAGAAGAAGAAGAGGAGGAGGTTGAAGACGATAAGGATATTAATCAAGATGCGATGATTAAGGTAACATTGACGGTCATTATATAAGCGTAATCCTTTTGATTAGGCGAAGAAGACAACTGCTAAAGCTAAAAAGAAAGATGAACCATCGACTAGCGGTGCTAAGGGGGCGGCAAAAACTTCGAAAGCAAGTACAGCAAAGAAAGCGAAGAAATGATCTTTTTACAGAGAATGTTTTTTTTTTGGTTAATTATTATGTACGCTTAGTGTTATTACATTTTTTTTACACAGCATTGTAATTATATGAAGGAATCTAGAAACAAAAAATTTGATTGGTTCTGTAATGTACCCTTAGACCATATAGTACATGGATTGCTAATTGTAACTAAAATATGGTCAAGGACATCGCCTGGGTATGTGAGTTTCAGGGTAAACGAGTCTGTCCAAAGTTGTCCGATTAGATACGATTTGAGACTGTCAACCTATAAATTAACAAACGTCAATGAAATAATCGCCTAGATATGCAAAAAAAGCAATCCTATTCTTTTTTGTGGCCGTATTGAAGATAATCAAGAGTATTTAAAGCTTCCCGTACTACGCGGTTACTATAAAAGCTACTCTTTAGGCGATCCGAGTGGTGTTTACACGTCTTGAGTTTACCCTGAGATACACATACCCACGACTACACTGCCCTCTATCCGTGACCACCCATTTTGTATTGAAAGCATAAGGCTAATAGCAGTCCATGTACTATATGGTCTAAGGATGTACCGTACTGGAAGATTGCAGTTATGGCAACCTTTCGTCTTTGACAGGATTTGTTGACATTTCAATTTGATTTTATACAAAGCACTAAAACGAAAAATCCCGTTATTTTGACGATTTCTGTATACAGGCAAACTAGACCAGTTGTGAAAGGAGTGGCACCTTGCAAAATTTTATTTTTTTACATGTCAAAGGGTGGTATGGACGTGGTGAATAAGTTTGCAAACTGGGAAGCCCCGGGGCTTGTGAGGGGGAATGGCATGTTGATCACTCACTTGATCATCACAGAGTTTGATTTTGAACACGCGAACTATAGAACGCTCTATGGTAAAGTTTGTCCAAATTTAGGCCAAATTTTAAAAAATTAATAAAAACTAGGTCATCTGCTTTGTCCTAGTCAAACCAAAAGACGTGAGGCAATGGAAATATTTTATGTGAAGCGGGCCCACTTCTATTCGTATCATTTACTAGAAAAAATTTCACTTTCATCAAGGAGATGTATCAATTACCTATAGCTATTTTATGGATGTGTTGAATAGGATACAACCAGAGGAGCTGAATCTCAAGTTCGAACTCGGCTCAACAGAAGCAGGTCCAGTAGTAGAACAGTCTCGTCTAAAATCTCATCTAAAAATAGATACTCCAAAAATGTACAAATGTTTCACAATCTGGGTAATCTTTTTAAATGTTTCTTCATCACTTATTTCGTTCAATGTAAAAGCATCTTCATATTATATAGCTTTACAGAGATTCTCAAGGGGTTTTTAAAGAAAATGTAGACATCTCTATAAATATTTTTTAATTCCTGAAAGATTATGTTTATACGAAAAATGATCATGATGAACTTGAATACTGTTGAAACGTAAATCTCATTGTGCTAAAAAACATTTAAATTTGTGGATCGAATGGTACTGGGACAATGTGACGCAAATGAATGATAGAAAAAACTTAAAAATTAATTAAATGTATGTTTTTCTTATTATTGATAGACTATCGATGGACGATGGATCTGAAACGAGGCATTTTTTTGTGGGGTCATACTGGGCTACAAGTTGGATCTTAAAAGCGTCATCTGACGTTAGTAAGTGAATTACTGTATAACGCGTTCAATTTGGCAACGTCGTGTTTGTTAGCGGCAGCTAAAGTTTTCTGTAGTAAACTGGTTTTCCACCAGACTTAAATCACAAATGGAAAATGGATTGTTGACTTTTATTAACGTTTATTATTATTTAGACAATTTACATGTTAAAAAAACCAAATTAAAATGATTAACAAAGAAACACAATTAATTATGCAAAAGATATGTAGGTCATGTATGTGCGAAGGCACGGACATGAAAAGTGTGTTCGAAGCTAAAGCAGCAGAGGAAGGGCAAATTTTACTGGCTGATATGTTAATGGCCTGTACTTCGATACAAGTAATAAATTTGCAGTAAATTTCGACACCTTTTTCGAAAATTAATGTTGCAGATAACTACGGATGATGGTTTACCGGTACAGCTTTGTGTTTCTTGCGAAACAAAGCTCGACTGCGCATTCGAATTTAAACAACAATGCCAAAAGACGGATGTAAAGTTAAGGGGATTAACAAATCAGGGCTCTCCAAACCGATGTGTAAAGGAGGAATCCTTGGATATTGTCGTTCAACCTGACCTAGGCGATAGCTTCATTGATCGTTCTGTTGATTCGGACTGCAGTGAGGCGCCTAACCCAAAACTCCACCCTATGCATGACTTATTTACTTGTTCGTATTGTCAGAAAGTTTTACGCACAAAAAAAGGATTAAAAATACATCAGCGGCGACATACAGGTGAGAAAATGCGTTCGTGTCATTTGTGCCAAGCGAAATTCACAAGAACCAACCACCTACGAAGACATTTAGAAACGCACAATAAATCTAACAAAAGTTCGTCTCACGTTTGTGTAGAATGTGGCGCTGCTTTTAGTAAAGCCATCCAGTTGTCAAAGCATAAGAAAGAACATCAAGTAAACAGTAATGATAACGAAAAGGAGGAATGTGAATCTCCTAATGCCGATGACGCCGAAGATGCAAATTGGACGGGCTGGCAAACAACCGAGGTCTTTGCTCTGTTAACAGTCGACTTTTCATCCTTAATTTCATTTTCAGGATAACACTGCGACTGAGAGAAGTAAACATAGTGAGAAGTTAATGGAGAAAAAGGTTCACATTTGCGCAGACTTGTGAGAGGTTTAATTAAATGTTTCTAGGTAATGGAATGTGAATTTTGTGATCGTAAGTTTAAGTATAAGAAGAGCTTTATACATCATCTGCAGATGGAACACGGCATGACCGATGCGAATGACGTGAGCAATAGCCTGTCTAATGCCACCGAATCCAAGCTTGATAGCGAGACACGTGAATTTGAGGGTTAGTATTCTGATTTGTGTCATTTGTGCGAGATCCTTTGAGTACTGAATCTCGAAAATCATTTTATGTTATAGCAGATATTAAATTGATATTTAAATAGGTTTGAATGAGTAGTCTCTCTCTCTCAAGGGTCAGTGATCACTTTAACCGCAAGGGTAGATAAAGTGAAACAGATGATTATGCATTCTAATGACATCTGTCATTCTTATTTCAAATGGGACGCGGAGCACGAAATAAAAATTTATTCAAGTTAATTCACGCATGCCCAAACCCAATTTTAGCACTATTGCGATCACAGATTTTGCTCAAATTTTGGATATGTATACAGGTGTGATCAACAAATACTACTAAACACCAAGTTTTTAAGTGCAATAATTTTAGATAAATAATATTTCTTTTGAGACCAGCAGTGTCTTACATTTTGTTTCCAAACAGTTTCAGATCCAACCGAATTAAAGGACATAACAAATCCTGAAGTTTCCGATGATGGTATTACTGATACGGAATTTTTGAAACCGAAAGAAAATCGAAAACTTCATACGTGTCATGTATGCGAGGCAAAATTCTCGCGCACCAATCACTTAACCAGGCATATGACTTTACATAGAGCGGTACTTACGGAACAGTGTAATCGGTGCGAGAAAGCATTCGCCACTTCGGAACATTTAGCAAAACATCTTCAAGAAAATCACATCGACAAACCTTACATTTGCACAGTTTGCAATAAACAATTTTCTAGAGGGGAACATCTCATTCGGCATCTTAAAATACACGATCCTACGGACGGATCGGAGGCAAATCATACGTGCTCAATATGTAATAAGTCGTTTTCTAGGTAATTGCAATTCTATTTACCATCCGTACTATTCGCCAACTGTTTTTTTTTTAGATCTGACCTGTTGGCAAGACATACTAAAGTCCATTTAAAACAAGACAAAAGGCATATTTGTGGAGAGTGTGGAAAAGCATTTAACCGTTTAGATAACCTGAAAACCCATCAACGAATTCATACCGGAATCAAAGATTCCAAGTTGCATCTCTGTATTTATTGTGGGAAGGAATTTAACAACTCGAGCAATATGGTAAGTATGTACAGGGTGTTCCATTACTAATGGTCACAGGCCATATCTCTGGAACCGTTAATTGCACAGCTTCGGGAAAAAAATGCAGCCAAGAGAAATCGCTGGAAATCATTTTAAAGTTTCTAGCTTCGCCATAAGAGGGCGTATGATTCATGGTTAAGTTAAAGTCACTAAATTTAGAAAGTACCGCAATCATCCGCCATTTTTGGGCAAATTTGCTGCCAACTTAAAAAATTGACAATTAAAATCTTAATAGCTGGAATTTTTTATAACCTAACTTCATAGTACTGTCATATTTTATAATAGTTATTTACGTTATAAGTCCGGTAGGTTACTTGTAACAGTACGAGTTAGACATTATGGACGAGGCGACGTCAGGAGCCGAGTCAAGAATGTCTTAAACGAGTACTGTTACAAGTACTACCGGAGTATATCGTAACGTATTTTATTTCATACTGTAAGTCTGTTTTGTATCATTATTTTATTTCAAAGATTACAAAATTTCATCATATTGTAAAAATCGCATTACCTTGTTTCTGTGGCAACGGCCGTTGCTATAGTTTGTAGTTTGTTGACAATTGAATTTTTTTCACTGAAAAATTGACGTTATAAACGTTGTGGGATGTTCCACTGTTCCCGATACAATCCTGTCGAAATCTCATGAAGCAACCGAAAAGTTGGTTCCTAAGAAGTCGGCCGCAAGGTATGAAAAAGAGTACTAAGTGTTTTGCCAATTGAGGAACGAACATGGGGCGAAACAAGTAGAGGAAAAAGTCATGTTAGCATACTTTTTGGACGCAGTAAGTTTTTGAATTGAGATTTTTTGCCTGGGTTTCGGTGTTAAAGCGTCATGGAGCATGGAAAAGCTCATCGACGGCAGAAAAATACATCGAAGGCTCGGTAGAAGGAAAAGTTAAGATTGCTCGTATGATACAACTGATACAAGGCGGCGAAAATTTCATTGGAGTTCTACAGCAGAAGGAATCAAACATTACTAACTCGACATCCAGTAATAACCCAGGCGTAGTCTTGAGGGCAATACAAATTGTTTCATTACAATCAATGTTAATATTTGAAATAAAGAATTACAGCCAAATTTATGTTGGGGTTTTTAATTAATTGTGTGAAGATGTCAAATTTGATGTATACAAATAACAGTCCGGTAAGTGTTGCTTAGCGACACTTACCGGCTCTGATGCTGTAATAACTCACCTACCGGACTCAAAATGATAGTGTAATCGAACATCTACCGGACAGTATGAAATAAAAATATATCCAGATATCTCTAAACAGGTGGAACAATCCCTAACATTAAAGTTACTAGAATCTGGTAACTTCCGCCATTTTTGGGCAAAAATCATGCGTTCTCTCTCTAACACACGAGCCCAATGGATTGCGGTAATTTCTATATTTAGTGACTTTAGGTTAAGTAGAAAAATGACTCTTTTCCTAAAACACACCCAACAAACATGCATAAAAAATACATGCATAGCAATCTAGTTTCAATTTTGGATCATTTTGATGCAGCACATATTGCTCTAGCTCATAAAATATGAGGGGTAGAGGAAGGGGAACAGCAAAGTTTATGTTAGTGTCACATCGCACCCTCTAACCCTCATCACATTTACTAAACAAGACCTATTGAAAATCTGTTAACCTAAACTGAAGAACCATTCAATTCCTTAAAGAGATGTTACCCTTCCCACACTCCTCATATTTTATGAGCTAGAGATACAAGATTGCTATGCATGTTTGTTGGGTATATTTTAGAAAAAATCATTTTTCTACTTAACTATGTATCGTACGCCAGCTAGCGGCGAAGCTGGAAACTTTCCAGCGATTTCCCTTGGCCCTTTTTGTTATTAAAATTTTTTCTGTGCAATCAATGGTTCCATAGGTATGGCTTGTGACCATTATTAATGGGACACCCTGTACAGTACACATTTTTATTTCTTTTCTTGCAAGGTTTAGGAAATGTAGGCTACATCCAATTAGTTATTCTATAGTGTGAGGAAGGAGGTGGCTTATCCAGTAAACCCCATTTTTATACTTTAGTCCGCAAGCTTAGTGAGGTGTATCACTTTAGTAAACGGAGTTTGTCATTAGTGTCTTCATTTTTGTCTAATAGGTATCAATGTGTCCTCTTTAACAATGCAGTATCTAACAAATTACACATCAAATACGGCGTACCGCAAGGCTCTATCCTTGGACCCTTGCTGTTTTTAATTTATGTTAACGATCTACCATCCCATTTGCCACCGCAGACGCAATGTATTTTGTACGCAGATGACGCTACACTAATATCGAGTAGTATGTGTTATGATTCGGCTTATGCCAACATTCAAGACGGCATCAAACTTATTTCTCGATGGTGCACTGATAATACTTTGAAACTAAATCCTGCTAAGACTACTATCTTGCCTTTATCTTTAAGAAAAGATAATATCGTCTCTAATGGTGCTCATTTCACATTTCTGGGTTGTGTGATTGACAGCAAATTAGACTTCAAATATCACTGCGATAATTTGTCCAAAAAATTGAACACGTCGATATTTTTACTTACTCGGTTGCGCAACTGCACATCTTTAAATACCATTAAAGCAGCATATTTTGGTTTTGTGCATAGTTCTCTCTCATATGCCATCCTCGCTTGGGGACACAGTTCTCATTGGCAATGCTTGTTCAAACTACAACGTAGAGCTGTTCGTGTTCTGGCATCTTTAGGTTATAGAGACGATTGTCGTCAAGCATTTATCGATCTCAGAATCTTAACACTTCCTTGTATTTATATTCTTGAAGCCCTGTGCTATGCTAAACGAAATATATCTCTTTACACACAACAAATTGACGTACATACTCATCACACAAGAAAAAAAAACAATATCCGTACTGATCTATGCAGACTCAAAATCACAAGAAGGAGTACAGTACCAATGCAAACATTTATACAACTGCCTTCCCTTAGATATAAGGATTTTAGACTACCCCATATTTAAGAGACGCATAAAAAATTTTCTTCTATGTAACGCATTTTATTCTTTTAACGAGTTTGTGGCTAGTGGTAGATTATGTAATTAGTTAGCGTTTTTATTGCGATTTTACTGTTTTTACCTGTCTGTTTTTAGTTTGTTTGTTATATTGTTTGTTATATACTATTATTTTTAATGTTTAATGTAATTTCCCGTTTCTTTTGACGAGTGTAAGTGTAATTCACCTTCTCACAATTAAATATTATTATTATGGTCGGTGTATCTTGTGAGAACTCAGGTCTAGCCTGGTTAACTAATCGCACGGATTAAAATCAAGTAACGATTAGTGTCTGTGTCTGGTGAAGTTATGTAGGGTCCTAAAAAAAATAAAAGAAATAAATAAATAAAATAAAAATTCACACCCTCACATTGAAAATCTAGAGATAGTATGTATTTCATACTTACCAACATAGCTATTGATGGGCACAATTATTATTATTATTATTATTCATCGAGACATGGATTTTTTTTTTGAGCTGTCAGTTGTACAATTTGATTTTTTGTCTGTTGTGTTAGCATGGTCTGCAAAACCAATTACGTTTTTTAGCTCAAGGAATATTTCAGTTGTTGAATTAATGTCCAATATTTTACGCAAATTGTTATTATTATTTCATTTGTTATCCAGTTTTTCACTTGTTCAAATCGTTCTATTGCTTTTGATTGATATATGGTGAGTTACAGGTAAATTGTTTGCTGAACAGGGACACATTGATTGCTTATGTATTGTATACAGGGTGAAAATTTTGTCTGTCCGGATCTCGGTCTGGATCCACTTGTGCAGTTTTGAACTACTTTTAGGCTTTTAGGGGAATTGTCCTAGAATTCTGCAGTTTCTTGCAATAAGTAGCCTATACCTTGAAGGTTGCCTGACGATCATCAATTTTGCTTTCTGAAGCCCCCCTCCCGTGAATTATTTCCTGAGATTGTTGTTTTCGAAAGTAAAGCGCGCGTAACTTTTTTACATGGGACAACCAATTAGGTCTCAGATCAGATTTTGCATATGCATGCCTTTATGGTGTCAAGTAAGTCTTTTGAAAATAAGAGTATTCCATCAACACAAAAAACTGAACTTAACGACGGCATGTAACAGCTAGCCCCCCCCCCTACTTTAAACGCGTGGGCGTTATTCTTCTGTTTGTGTACAAATAAGCCGGGAAAACAAACTCTTTGGGTCACCCCATTTTTTTTAGAATTTAGCTTCAATTTCTAATTTTATAATTTTGTGTAATATAGATTGTACACATGCGTAGACACACTGGGGAGAGACCATACAAGTGTACCATTTGCAGCAAGGGATTTCCGAGATCACACGACTTGAAATGTCACGAACGCACCCACTCCGGAGAAAAACCATATTTATGCACATTATGCGGTAAATCGTTTAATAAAAGCAACAAACTGGTAAGCTTGGACCAATTAATAGGTGCAATTGTTGCTATGGTTTATTTATAGTTACGTCATACTAGAGTTCACACGGGGGAGCGACCTTACGTTTGTAATCTCTGCGGTAGAGCGTTTACGCAATCAAACGATTTAGCTCTTCACATGCGCAGGCATACGGGTTCGCGTCCCTACGCCTGCGGCGTCTGTCCCTCTCGTTTCATACAGTCCGGCCAATTAAAAGCTCATCGTAGATCGACCGGGCATTGGATGGAAACGCAGCCAGATCTGAAAGGCGGTCACAGAGTTGAGCCGGTAACTCCGATTACTAACCCTGCACCGATCAAGTTTAAAACGCACGGAATTTACTTCCCAAAGGAAGGTGAGGAGGCAAAACTGAAGGAACCGAAAATTTTGAATCATACCGTCGGCATTATGGGAAATATTAACATTCAGAATAATGTTCAAATTCATTCTCAACCGATTATCCTCGATAGTGCGAAACTAATTCAACAATGCAGCAACGGGACATTTGTTGGTTTCACATCCGTAATTAACGCTTCTCCACAAGTGGTCACCGAAAGTGGCGAAGAAAAGTTTAAAACTGAAAGTGCCGAGTTTACCATCACCGGTATTGAGTGTGAAGAAAACCTTAGTACAGATCAGAAAATGGAGACAGTTGACGAAAACGGAATTACATACACAGCAATTGCGGCGTCGGCGTCAACGTTTACTAATGGTGAGCATTATACTTACCAAAGTTACTGATAAACAAACTTAGGTTAATTTTCGTCGTCCATTTTGGCAGTTTAATTAGATATTATTATAGGAACTCTATAAATGGTTAGCAAATTTTGTAAGAAAGCTCTTTTGACCCATCTTATTGTTCAATAAAAGCATGTTAGAGGTTGCATGTAATTAAATCAAGTTACAAATAAAGATTTGATGATTTTATCTACTTGCTAATGACCTGTAAATTTGCATTATTTGCTAGGCGTGGAGATTAATACCTTAAAATTAATTTATTAAAGGGTGTCATACTTAATATGTTTTTAATTATGTATAAATGTGTAAATATTTGCATATAGATGTAGTGTTGTGTGTAAAACAAGTTTATGAGAGATTGTGTACATTTATGATTTTAACTAGATATTACAGTACTACTTCATGTCATGTGTTACATGTAGTAGTTAGCCTCAAATTAGAATAATTATGTTGTACTAATTTTGAGCTTCACTTTCATACCAAATTTCTGTTCAAAGAAACTATTGTATTTTAAATTGGTAGGTATATTATAAACTGTAAATAATTTGATAATTTTGAATAAATTACGCTGTAATTGTGGGCGTAAGTCATTTTTTTGACTAGTTGTCAATAGGAAATAGTTATTTATGGTATAAGTGTGTTAAATTACAAATAAGTCACGCGAGAAAAAAGTAAGCCCACGAGGCCGTCAGGCCGAGTGGGGTTATTTTCTCAAGTGACTTATTTGTAATTAACACACGTGCACCATACAAAACTTTATCCAACACCTCCTCAAGCTGGTTTAAAACGTGGAAATCTTAAAAACTGCGTGTTCCGCGAAAAGCTAGAGTGCATGGAATACAAAAGCAATAATTCGTTGCTATGGGGAATAATAAACAACAAAAAATTTAGTCAGAAAATTTATATGGATTTACTTATGGTTCCTGTACTTTATCTTGCTAGTGAGTTATTTTACGTCCATAACTCATTAGTGGGTTATTATATTATACCTTACTCGTTTAATTTCGTCATGATAATGACTGGATAACATAGAGGTGTTGGATAAATACAATTTTAGTGTATAATGAAGTAGGAAATACATAAACATTGAAGGTAGAGTAGATTTCACTTAAAACACAGATTCTTTGGTACAACAACCATTTGGTTGTTATTCCTCCTAAAATAGCCTCATGTGCTGCTACATTGTGTTTGTTTACAGAAACCATGCAATAGGGAATATGCATGTAATTTTTTTTATCACTTTTTTACATCGTTCTAACATAGTAAAAAGAGTAAACACTGTTAGAACAATTCAATTTAACTTGTAAAATAATATTTAAAACGTTGACTTTATTCGATGTGTTTAAACGCCGCCACATTTTCAGCGAGCCTTGGATGACGTCACGCACGAGCCACGACCAGAATTTATTTACTTTTAGTGTTGATTTATTTAAACAGATTTTCAGTTGTAATAGCTATTCAGACCATGGAAAAAGCTAAAAAACCATTTTATAGGTATTGTCTTGTACCAAAGTGCAAAAACACTATTAGAAATATTCCCGATAAAGTGTATTTTGCAGTTCCAAAAGGACGACTCCCCAGAGGGTTCTCAATTTTTTTACAGTTAGTGAACCCTAAAACAACCTTTTTCAACAATTGTGCCGTTGATTCTTGCAAATCGACGGACTATGCAATTTTGTTTCAAAATCCGATGAATTTTCTTAGTTAACAAAAGAGATCAAAAAATGACAAATAGGGGAACTAAATCCTGTATTACTAATTCCTTCGGAAATGTGTAGCAGAAGGTTCCCTGATCAACATATAATAAAATCCCCCCGACTTCCGGGTGTGCAAGAGGGGAGAGGGAGAAGACCTACATTAAAAAAATACGTCCAAATCTGATTTCACGAGAAATCAGCTTTTGACTTCGGACTTGTATTGGACACAACAAAAAATGATTTTGCAAATCGGGTCGCATCGAATGATTCTTTAAAGGGTGAGCTTTTTCATGCTTCTATTTTACCAAAATGTATGATTTTTATTGATCAGAGCGCCAAGGGCCTATTATGGAGTTATTCAATTTGTTAGTTAACTAAAAAAAAAGTCCACAGTCCATCAATTTGCAAGAATCATCTGGACAATTTTTGGAAATGGTTGTCTTAGGATTCTGTAAACAAATGTAGAACGCTCTGGGAGTCACCCAGTTTAAAAGACCAAGTATCGTTTTGTAAATTTGTTTATTTAATTATGCAATAACTATCAAATTTACGGTGATCGGGTTTGTCATATTGTTTTGTTATCAAAAGAAGTGACCAAATACGGATTTTCAAAAAGATGGATGAATTTTACTTAGTAATAATCAATTGACCATCTTCGGGATTGCTTTTTTATATTTTTCCATAAAAAACAATAACATTTGAAAATGAACGTTTAATACCAACTGTATCTCATAGAAAATTTAATTCTAAACAAATTCATTTCTCTTCATTTTTTCCCTTAGAGCAATAGTTAACGAGATAATTGAAGTCAAATGCGAAAAGAAACGACATCTTGCAATTTTTTCATCGTTTTTTGTTTATACATAACAATATATTCCGGGAGTTTTCGGGTAGGGGGACTATGGTTTTCGAATTCAGCGGATCTTTTTACATAGAAGACACTTGATTTCGTTGAGTGAAATGACAACACCCAACCCCAAGGATACTATATAATATAAGGATTGCTCGATCCCTATACTTGTAATGTTGCCCAAGTTTAAGTCATATGTGACGTCACCAACGGACCTGGCTGTCAGAATTGACAGTTATAATTTGCCAAGTTGTGAACGTATTTGCATGGACGCCAGGACGCCGATGTGCAATATTAGACTGTAACAACAGCCGTGTTTGCACAAAAATCACTAACCCGGAAGTCATTTACCATAACTTCCCTAAAACCGATGGATTAATACGCAAGGAATGGATATGGTGCTGCAAGCGCGATTAATGGACAAGTGTTTCTAATTTAAATGCCTGCCTACAACATCCATTTGAACGCATTTTATGGTAATCCTAAAGGTCTATTCTCATTAGAGCAGCACCGAGAGGCGCAGAGCAGCGCGGCGCGTCGCTAACAGCAAATTGTAGAGGGGTATTCCCGCTTAAGCACCATTTGGAAGCGTGACGAAGCAGCGTTTCTGTTTGTGTTCAGAGAGAATGTATTCTTACACGCTCGAAGAAGAGCCATCATCGTCATCATCACCAGATGATTTCATAATATTTATAGCGGCACTATGCCATGTACACGACGAAAAAAGAAGAAAAAGAAAGCGGACGAGTACAATTAATTTTTCTATTCTTTGTCCGTCCATAGCGAATCCACTAACACACGCAAGCAAGACACACTACCCTTTATATCACTACTAATGAGTGTAATTACGGTGTAGTTCGCTTAAAGTGTCGCCTTTTAATTCTTCTCACAAATTTGTTTTGTGGTCATTGTATTCTTATCAAATGCAAGGTTAATAATAATAATATATATTTGACGGACAATATCCATTATAAAAATTACAAATAACTTAACCATACAATTTATGTTCCAGTTCTCTCCGGAACTTCGAAAATGGTACACTAAACATGTTAATATTAAGTCCGTTTGCATCTGAGCAAATCTTATCAACTGGTGTAAACATGGCATAATTAGTTCTATGCATATTAATGTAAAATAATTTCTTGCTGCTAGTTCTTTTGATGGGTACCAGAAAATTTAGACTGTGTAGTAGTTCACTAGCATGAACTTCTCCATTTAATAATTTAAACAAGAAGATCTGCTCAGATGCTTGTCGACGAAGATTTAATGGTTTGATGTCGGGTTATAGCAAATTTTTGCATAGCTTGATGGCAAACAAAGCTTTTTTACTTCTTGTTTATGCCGTGCAACGATTGCATTTTCGGCCGTGCGTGCATATATACATTGACTTTATTGTTATTTTGTAAAAATATGGTGTAGTATGGTTGCTGTTTTAATTCTACGAAAAAGGACTGTCCACGGCCATGTTTTTGTTGAAGTTCTGAAAGGATTATGCTGTGAGAATAAAACGACCGCGTTTCTGGTCAAGCAGTGACTGGCGTCTTCATCACGATGACTCGCCAGTGCATTCATGGAAACTTGTGCAGCAATGTTTGGCAAAACACAAGCTTATACATCTTACTCGCAGTCTCCGTATAGTCACGACATAGCTCCCGGTGACTTTTGGATGTTCCCAAAATTTAAAATGGCGCTCAAAGGAAATGTTTCGACGACATGGAGACGATCTATAGTAACGCGACGCGCGGCTGAAGACTATTCCAAAATCTGCGTTCGAGGACTGCTTTAAGAGCATATAATTCAATCAAATGGGGACTAATTTAAAGGATGCCACAGCCCGGATGATGAAGAATAGCACCGATTCGCAGATACAAATGCAGGTTGGATACTTTTCGGACACGCCTTGTACCAATACGGGGTATTTCATCGGCGAGAAAATTTTGTATTTGTGGAAAGGGTGGAAAACATTCATTGATTTTGGAGTGAGTATCTGACCCTAACTATTTATTTATTTAATATATAATCTGGGTGGCGCTCAATTTTGGGTAAGTGCCATCGAAACTGAAAATATATGCCCAGCACAAACCATCGCTGTAACGTTTTTCATGTTTTTTTCTTAAATTGTAAAATCCATGAGTTAGCTGGGCCGTTTATTGGGCGAGTTTTTTTAACGCAGCGCCGACTTAACTCGCCATTATACACCGTGTGAGAATATATAATACACGCGAAGGTGTTTCTGCTCCTAATATACACGGAGTATTTTTTGACAAACTCTTGTAACATTTTTTTGACTGCCGGGAGAACATGATGGATGAAGAGGTGTTTATATCACCATGAGAAATATCAACGCTTTAGTTTAAATTTTTGCAAATTCTGTATCAGAGGAGCATATAATGGGCGAGGAGGTGTTTCCGCTTGAAGTATTTTTGGCAGACTCGTAAAATTTTTCGGATTAACAAGTAACATGATGGACGAAGAGGTGGTTTTCTATCGCCATGAGTAGTATTAGTGATAGTGAAAAATGACTTCCATAAGAAAAAACAAAGAATTGATTATGGTTAACCGGAGACGAAACGTCAAGACTTAAAATTTAAAACTAGCATCTTGTAGAGGGAAAAGTGGCCATAATAATGTGTCATTTATTTTGAAATATCTTTGTAAATAACTTCGGTATGCCAAATTTAAACTACCTGCCTATCTCTACAGTTTCCGAGATCCCCATAGTGGCTCTCGAATTTGAATCAGCCTGATGTATAGGTAGAAGAAAAGGACAACAGTTTATAATAATAAATCCCTAATAATTTAATTATTTGATTTTAAAGAGCCATCAAAACACCAAGCGTTAATTTCTCAAAAAACCTTTTTGATGTTTTCCTGAATTGCTATACTTCCAAAGATTTTTTAATGCTCCCACATATGATAAGTGTAATATTGTTTAGTTTTTTTGAATTTTTAATCGTCTTTGTTGTCATCAACAATTTGACTGATTTTGAGAGAAAAAGAATGTCAATGGCAGGTAAACAACCCATCAACTTTATTTAAATATGATATCTCCTAAACAAACATAGTCTTACATAAAAATGATCCATAAGTAGTCAACAATAACATAAAATTTCATATGATGTATAATACAATTTCCTTAAATTTTAAATAATACACAGCTATACGAAAATACTATAGTAGTGTTCCACCTTTATTATAATGACTTAGTGTGCTACAGATTTGCTTCTTACTGATTGTTTAACGATTGTAAAATGCGTAAGATGTGTAAGAACAAATTGATAATGTCCAGGTACAAATTAATCGTAGCCAGAATATATTCCTCTGGCGATAATGTTTGCATCAACATTTGCGTATCAAAGACGATAAAGAGGCTAAAGAGCAATGCACCAGCGATCGAGATGACCAGTTCTAATACGGTGGAATGGAAAAACAATTGCATGATGCCTGCGACTAGGAGAATGCAGATACCTGCAAACAAACTGAAGGCACGATTAAGAAAAATACTGCAACCCGTTTCGGAACTTACCCAGAATGCATTGATGAATAATCACGTTTCGTCTGGAATGTATAGGCAGTTAGGCATCCGACCACTATTAGTGTAAGAACGAGTGCCTGAATCACAACAGCTTGAGAGTAGAAAGATACCACAACCCCAATAGTATATGCCTCAACTACAGTCTGCAATTGAATACATGACCAAAATATAACATGGCCGAAGTTTAACTTACAAATGCAGCTAGAAGAATAAAGTTTGTAGGTGTTTCTAAACGTTTCACATGTAAAGCAATTAATAAGCCGATGCTTCCAAAGAATGCGATCATTAGTAACCAATCACTAAAACAATAATTATAATTCCCGTGTAGGTAGTAAAATTTCTCACTTTGCATGGATGAATTCCTTCACAGGCGGAGTAAACAAGCAAATACTCGCTACGATTACAGTCAACAATAACTGTATGGAAAGAAGGCCATATACTTTTCGTATAAAAGCCATTCGTACACGCTTGGTAGCTTGTGCCACATTGTTTCTGTAGGCGAAATCATCTTCGATGCCATTTTCAATATCTTTCCCTCCTTGCTCACAGTCCTCTTGTAATATAAGAGGGACAGTCGAAGACATATTCCCTTACTTTTGTGTGGTGGGTCGACTATAGAATAACAACCGATTTTATTAAATCCTTTCCCTAATTGTACTGTTTTCACTTCACATATGTTTCTGACAGCTACATCAAACCACAAAAGGCATTTGTGATATGGATCAATACTTATACTTGTCAATATACATACGTTAATTATTAATTGGTTTAAGATGTCCGTTGTTATCCAATATATTCCGATTTTGTTCAATGCTCAAATGACTCAGTAACACTCACTAAGGTTGCCACATGCAAATGCAAAATTTTGTGATAAAAAAGATTATTATGTTGATTTTCTGATAAGAGCAAGGGCGTAGCAGTGGTAGGGCCTAGAGGGATCTTTTTTTTAAAATAAGACGTGCAAATTGTTGTTCTTAACCAGCTCATAACTTTTCGCATAGCCGAAAACGACCTTTCACAGGTGGCTGAAGACTCACTAGTTTACTACCACCGAACGACGTCAACGCCTACAATCTTCCGCTCGGGTAGCAAGCGAGTTCAAAAATAAAATACAGGTTTTCAGGGCAAATAAGTAAAGCTGCATACAAATTATGATTTGTCGCATGGCTTGGGGGGGTCTATTTCGATTTTGGGGGGGCTCAGCTCCCCCCAGTTGCGCCTATGATGGATTCTACTAATATAGGTAGACAGATTTTTAGAATAGGTACATAATTAAAACATAAACTTAGATAGTACAATAAATATTCAAATAAGCGGACTGGTTATAAGGCCATGGAAGTGACACCACAGATTTTCAAAACGAGCAAATATTTTTTAATATTCAATTTTTGCGTTAATATCTGTATTATTATATTAACATTATTATGCGTACTTCTGGTTACAATCACATTTGTTCCTGTTGCGGAGAATGACCCATATATTTGACCCAATTTGCTTGTGAAAAAAGTGACCCATTCTTGGACGCAGAGGTTGTCATATGATTTTATATTTTGGAATGTTTAATACCTATATAGGCCTAGGTTTTGTGGTCTTTTCCTCATTAAACGCGCTTCGAATTTAAATGCGTATTTTAAACGGGAGTGCTACGTTAATATGTAATGACGCACGTGCTTATTAGAAACAATTAACACGTCACATAATAATTGGTAGGTGTGTAACTGCGGTATTTAAAAAGATAGTAATGAGATGCCAATAATAGGCTTACGCAACTGAAGTTTTATTCAAATTGCAGAGATAGGCAACGTACCCACCAAATTAGACCGTGGAGTGGGTGTAGCATACCTATGCATTCATTTAGCGTTTCGTTTGCAAATTGCAAAATATAGGATGTGCTCCAAAATCAGCTAAACGCACGGATCTAATTAGAGAGAGATTTATTTTGTTGTTATATTATCCTTAACTTTAACAGCTATTTGAACAGTTAACGGCAAGATAGGTACTTACGGTACGAAAGATCGCAATGTAATTTGTGCTATTCTGTTGTTATATCAGCTAATTAGGCATAGCCGATTGAGATTGGTGAAAACATTTATTGGATAACATGGTATAAGAAAGTAAAAATCAATATCTTTTTAAGTCATTAGAAAGTACAACTTTTAATAGAACCTTACGACAAAAACCGCGAGAAATACATTAATCTAATCCACTATAAGAACCCATATAAGAAAGGTCAATGTCGCATTGTGAAAGTGTGTTGTTCAGTTCGCATTCTTGTAATTGAATTTAACAACATATCTATTTATACATTCGTTACACCTTTTTAGGAAGAAACAATTTGATAACGTACGCACGGGCCGAAAGAACCGTTAAATCGAATTCCAAAACAAAATTTAAGAATGAGCGGATCGGGGGTTTCCGTAAAGTTTCGTAAAAAATTGGCAGGGAAATTTGATGTTTATCGGTTGATATACAAATTACCTAATGGCGATGTGTAAAAGGTTGATATGTCACTGTTGAACGAATTTTCGTAAAGAAAATTGGAAAGACGACCGTATTGGAAGCACATTTAATACTTTTTAATTAATGTTAATGTGGCGAATTCGGGTTTGCGAGCCATAATTAAAATTATTCGTGTTCAGCGTTTGTAGTTCCCACCTGAGGAATGTTGATTTTTTCTATTTGCTATTTGATTAGCTACGAACTCGATGTTAAGTGTCAAGGAATACAACGTAAACCTTTACGATTTTCGGGTGTGATATGTTCGTCTACGGGCTGCTGTAATATATAGAATAGGTGTAAATAATTGATTTCAAGTGATAGTGGTGTGGGTGGAAAGGCTCGCTGCAATATACTTGGAAATGGCCAGCAATGAAGTAAGTACTGTTTATTTTTTTGTACCATTACGACACTTCGGTACCTCCACATTGTCCCAGCCGACAGCTTACGGTCGTTCTCAATTTCCAGATTGCCAAGGTCGATCCAGAGCTTATATTTACGAAGCAAGAGCGTATTGGGAAAGGATCGTTCGGTGAGGTGTTCAAAGGAATTGACAATCGTACTACGCAGGTTGTAGCGATTAAAATCATTGATTTGGATGAAGCCGAAGATGAGATTGAGGATATACAGCAGGAAATTATGGTGCTGTCACAGTGTGACAGTCCGTTTGTTACAAAATATTATGGCTCATTCCTTAAGGTTAGTGAAGTCTTATATTTCCAGTAAATAGTCACCTGTTAAAGTGTGACGTTGATGCAAAACTATGAATTGTAGTTTTATCAGTTGTGGTTAATTTATTTACAAGTGGTCATTAAGATGTTTACCAGTTGTAGGTTAACAGTGTGGGTTATCGTATTTGTTAATATTTCCCAAAAAGTGATTCACTCTTAGTGTATCTTGAACTGCAAAAACTCTCACAATATTGAGAGTTATAGTAATAATTTACTAGGAACAAGGAAAACATTCTGCTGATTTCCCCCGATTCTCGTTCATTTATACACAAATGTCCTTGCTTGATTCATTACTTTTTGAGTCTAAATGCCACATTTAACATAGTGAAAAATCGCCATGGCAAAGTCGTATTACTCTCTCCAGCAGGTGTGTAATGTACATTGTCACTTCATTGTATTATTTTAATAATCTTCTTTTCTTTTCCAATGTTTCTGTATTTTTCACACAGCAAAAGAAAACTTGTTCATATGTTCATAGGTGATCCATTAATTTTTCAAGATTTGTTTTTTTACTAAGGGTTGCTAAAAGGTGGGAAGTAAACCGCTGCAAAGAAATTTTATCCATACTTCGATGTACTTCCACTTCTTACTTATTATTCTGTGTGTCTTCGTGAAATGTTTGAATCAGGCCCATAACCAGGATGAAGTAACACAGGTGGCAGATATTTTTGTAGGCGGGGCTTAAAAAAAAGTAAAACCGCAAAATGTCCATCTCTGAATTAATAATAATCTACAAATAATTTTGTGTTTTATTTTTGTACTCAATTGCTTTTGAAGATGTTTAATAAAATACAGTATTATCAGGTTGATTGTGAGGACTGTAATTTATCTGATAGTTCATACTTCAAACATTTTTGTTACCTTGTTTGATTTTATGACAAGATTTACAGTACTCAGCAGTAGAGGAGCAATAAAAGTTTCGGGGTCACTTTTGGTCAAAATCCTATGGTATTTCTTATGGGAAATTCTACGGTTTATTTCGGCACCTGACCGTGAGAAAATTCTGGGGACCGTGGCATGGGAAAACCCTAATTTTGGCAGTTGGCCAGGTGTGTGAGATCATATTTCGGCAGTTCGTCCAGGGTGTGAAATCATAGTTTGGCAGTTGGTCCGTGGTGCTTGGTCATATTTTCGGCGTTGGTCAGGGTATTTCAACAGTTGGCCCTGGTGTGAGAGTTTGGCAGTTGGCCGAAGGAGCTATGTTTTTGGCAGTTGATCCAGGGTTATTTTGGTAGTTACACTGGAGCTCTCATATATCAGCAGTCGTGCTTTGGCGTTCTTTACCCCTAGGATTTTGACAGTTACAAGCTTGATATTAATTATCTACATATTTTGGTTGGTCTCATAATATGATACAGAGATCCGTGTGCATGAGAATAAGGCGCTATTTTTATCGCTAAATGAAGTAGAAGGAAAGATTCGAACCCTCACTTTGTGGATTAGCAGTAGCCACCTTAAACATTCAAACACTGTAGAAGCTTGTTCATTAAAAGAAAGTCAGTCATTTTGCAATTGCTGCAAAGTAAAGTAACACCGGTTGCTGCCCACTTTGATCTTGTGATCTGCGCATGCGCCTAGTTTAAGATCATTCGCCCCATGCAAAGGTTATAGCTAAAGGGTTATTGACCACTTACGTGTCATTGACCTCTCTGAATGCGGAGCCAGATCCCCAACCTGGAACACAACTTCAACAGAAACAAAAGTATTTCTCATGCACAGACCTGATTCTGATATGTACAGACCTGATTCTGATATGTACAGACCTGTTTAAAAAATATGGAAAAACAAAAGAAAGAGAAGCTATTTATAGTCGGATTATATTAACTGAAATTATGTTTTTTTTTACTTTTTTCATTCCAGGTCGAAAGGAAAAAAAACTTGGAAACTCAAAACCTTATTTTATTTTCATGTAATCGTCGTGCGCACGTAATGTAATGCGCTACTCACCTCAAGTCAGCGAGTGTCATGTTGAAGGTTTTTGTCGGAGAATCTGAATCTGTTATCAGAATTTCCATAGCACTCTAGATGTAGATGTAGAAGGTGCAGGTTACTACTTTCATATTTCTTATGGGTGCCATATTTGATTTTTACGGAATGAGATAGAGGACAAAAAAAGAAAAATAATGACTTTTACATAAATTTACAAGAAACGTTTCAAAATCAAAAGCTTTACATTCATTTTTTTACATTCACTTCTCAACTTGCCGAATCAACATGCTTATGATGGTGATGTATTCAAATGAATTTCTTTTTTGTCTTCTATCTCATTCTGTAAAATTTCAATATTGCGTCCATAGGAAATAAGAAAGTAGTAGCCCCTACCTTCTACATGTAGGTGCTATGGAAATTCTGATAGCATATTCAGATTCTCCGAGAAAAATTGTTAACAGGGACCGTCCATCTTCGACTGTTTAAGTTAGGGAAAATGAAAACGAAATTTGACATTTTGAGTTTTTCAGGTGATATCTGATATTTTCAAAGATTTTTCAAAAATTTCACATGTGTTTCTTTTAGTTCCCTTTGAACCACCCAGTATTGCATGGTTTTGGAGTTATAGTACCTACAAGATAGTGCTTTTTCTGATGGAACACATACAGGGTGCTGCAAGATAAAAAATATAAAAAATCCTTACGGTTTACTAACAAACTGATTTTAAAACAGAAAACCTTGTATATTTTTAGTTGTTTCGATGTCATTTGTTAACTTCTACATTGAAACCTATTCACTTTTTGATTTTTTGTCAATATTTCCATCATATAAATTTTTTCCAAATAATTCCCCATAAGCAAGCCTCACTTTTATGAATGGTAGTGATCCTCGTAGTGATCTTGTTTTTTGAAGAAATAAATTTGAGCAATAATATTAATCCAAGTACAGGGCAACACTTTCATAATGAGAAAGTTTGAGTCTCGGATTTAGTGATACAGGGTGTTCCTCGGGGTGTTCACAATGAAATGGTACAATTTCCGAATTTCAAAGTGCCATAGGTACCTATTTTTTTCAAATGGAATTACCACAATTTTATTTTGCAATTCGATAGTCTTTCTTTGTGTTGTATAAGAGATGTCCTGTGTCTAACCCTCATAGTTTTTATTATTCAATATTTTGAACAAATGTGCCTACCTATATTAGTTAAATCCATGTTTATACACCGGAGTAGGTCTTGATAATAAACAAAATGATGCCTATATGTCACACTTTTTACTTTCGAGCATTCAATAAATCTTAATTCAATGATATGTGGACCATTTGATGGAAGCGTTAATTTTCATGTCTATATCTCAAATTGTGCGCGCGAGAGCTTTGATGCCATCTTTAATAGCGCCCCGTATGATCGACTTTCAAAATCAATTATTAATTCAAAATAATCCATTAGTCAATTTGTTGCACCGTGCGAGTTTCTTTGTAATTTTTGGCGGTTATTGTCGATACGGGCCTTATGTGTTTTCCAGAGCCATCGCGATTTTTTGATAAAAAAATGTTTCCATTTTACGCGAGGGTGCGCTCTAATATCCATGTAGATTAAAGTCACTAGATATAGAAAGTACCGCAATCATCCGCCATTTTTGGGCAAATTTGCTGCCAACATAAAAAAATTGACAAATAAAATCTGACTAGCTGTCATTTTTTATAACCTAACTTCATAGTACTGTCATGTTTTATAAAAATATATACAGATATCTCCAAACAGGTGGAACAATCCCTAACATTAAAGTTACTAGAATCTGGTAACTTCCTCCATTTTTGGGCAAAAATCATGCGTTCTCTCTCTAACACACGAGCCCAATGGATTGCGGTACTTTCTATATTTAGTGACTTTACATGTAGATAAAGTCACTAGATATAGAAAGTACCGCAATCATCCGCCATTTTTGGGCAAATTTGCTGCCAACTTAAAAAAATTGACAAATAAAATCTGAATAGCTGTAATTTTTTATAACCTAACTTCATAGTACTGTCATGTTTTATAAAAATATATACAGATATCTCCAAACAGGTGGAACAATACATTTTACATAATTAACATTAAAGTTACTAGAATCTGGTAACTTCCGCCATTTTTGGGCAAAAATCATGCGTTCTCTCTCTAAATCACGAGCCCAATGGATTGCGGTATTTTCTATATTTAGTGACTTTACATGTAGAGTTTAGTTTTTTCTCGCCTATTGCCTTTTTTCAGAACATTTGGACCTCGATTTCATCTCACATGCTCGTTAATGGAATAAAAAATATATGAGATCGCAAATCGTGTGAATGTTATTTTTTTTAATACCATGTTTGAGTCAGGATGGTATATGAAAAATTATACAATTGCATTCGTGATTCATACACTTCAAATTACTCATGTCACACGCCCTCGATAACTGTGCTTTTAAGAACATTTCTAGGAGTCTTGTTTAAGAATTTTTTAAGATTTACAAAGATTGTAAAAACCTTTCTATATTTTAGGACATAAATATCCATAATAATTTATTTATTTTTTATAATTTGGACATGAAGTACATAAACTGTCATAATGATTCATACGTAGATCACCAAAATTACTTTATTCGATAGGTAAGTGGTACCCATCGATAGGTAAAAACATTTATCGCCCATCTCATCATTTTGACAGCGGTTTGATTCATGTAGGGGACGAAAGCATCTGGCGGTATGTCAGGCAGTTAATAACTGGTAGTTGAGTCTAGCTGAAGTAGTCTTCTTGTTTCAATTTTCATCCTTCTTTGGATGAGAATGAATTGAGCTTAAAACCCTCTAAAAGTTTGTTTGTAATGTAATTTACAATATAAGAATATATGTGAATTCTGTTAAATAATGGGAAGGATGTGGGAAAATTAGTATTAAGATTAGATAATGACAAGGATACTAATCGTAGAATCGATTAAGTTAGCTGTCCAGTAACAAAGTCTTAATATCTAGGTGTACTTCACAATTCGTTATCTGCCCATGAAATGTTAGATAATATTTTAATCGTGGCTGATTAACTTAACGAAATAGTTACATGAAAAAACTAGTACTTGATTTAAAACAAAAAAATTGCGCTCTTTAGATAAATTGTGATTTACGCAGAAAGGAGGACTTAATTAGGGAGGGTATTGCACAAAATTACATATTTGGAGAAAAATAATGAGTAACGTGTAAGGCTTCAGAGATCACCATTCTTTTCTAGCACACTACATTACCACCAAACAAAATATTTAGACCTGTTAAGTGAAATTAAAAACGTGCTAATTGTATTTGTGGTAAAGAACAATACATAATTATCCTAAAAAGTAAGTTTAAAAAACAAAGGTTAACGAATTGAATGACCTAAAATGCTGGGGTTACTTTATAAGGTGATCTCATCATCGATACACCTTATTTAGGGTACTCAATACAAAAGCAATTAGGTTTGTCATCACAATTACTTCTTAATATAAACGGAAACACTATTAAAACAGTACATACCTAATCTTGTTTAAAAAGAGAAATCGTGAGAACTTCTTCATCATATAATGCAATAATGTAAATTTGATTAAAGGTTTCAGGTCCTACTCCAAAAATGAAGTAATTGCCGATTTTGTTAAAACATAAAATAAAAAACTGGTTCATTTACTTTTTAAACAAACACGCCTGCAAATATAAAGTACAAGATAAGCGAGATGTCTATTCTATACCTAGCTACTGTGTGGAATTGTTTTTTAAATGTGTAAAGCAAAACGTTTTATTTTATATATGTATAATCATATGAATATTTACACTTCTGGATATAAGAGTTTAACAAATTGTGTACGATTTTGAAGACAAAAATTGTGGAGGGATATTGGGTGGAGCAATGTTGGAGAGAACCTGTAGCGCTTTTGTATTATGATATCATCGAGGATATCATTGAATATTCTCCACTTTTTAAAAATATATTGAGTTATACAGGGTGTGTTCAAAAAGTCGGACCGTAAAAAGGTACATTTTTTTAAATGGAACCCTCTGCTTTTCATTAAAAATTTCACTTTTTATATGTATATTTTTCCGTCATCTTGTAGCTCCTCCAAAAACCTTCAACTTTTGGTAATACTGTCCTATACCTACCTATCTCCGATAGTTTTCGAAATACATTGGTTTTCGTGGTTTTTCTATTCTAATCTTAAATCTCGCCTTAAATAAGGTGTAATTTACATAGTTATGAGTGTTGTGACAGTAAACAACTACACTAAAATTTAAAGAGTACACTATTTTTGTAACTCAAAGAAAACAGTTTCTTCTAAAAAATAAATAATTAGTTTGTGACACTTGTTTACTCTCTGGCATTACTCTTATTACTCCGATGTATAAACATGTAATTAATTGATGAGTAGGTACTTGTGAAAAATATTAAATAGTCTAAAAGTTACAAGGTATAAGCACAGGATCGTCTTACAAAATTAAAGAGAACACAAAAGACTATTGAATAGCGAAATAAAATAGTAGTTCCATTTGAAAGAAAAAAAGAGTTATGGCACTTTGAAGTTTGCAAATTTTACCATGTCCTTGTGAACAACCTGTGTCACTAAATCCGACTTTCTCATTATCAAGATGCTGCATGCTATTCAGATTAACATTATTGATCAAATTTATTTCTTAATTTAAGATGGCGACGTTGACAAAAAAACAAAAAATGAACAGGTTTCCATGTAGAAATTAACAAATGACATCGAAACAAGTAAAAATGTACAGGGTGTTCTATTTAAAAAATCAGTTATTGAAACCGTATAAATGGGACACCCTGTACATTCAAAAATAATTTCTGTAGATGTGCTACAATCTATAGTTGACATTTGCACAAAAGGTTTTTATATATTTTTACCAGGTATAAGCTAGGAAAGACCGACGCACGGTTGCAGGACCTTGTATACAGGGAGTTTCAAAATGAACAGGATTTTACAATATTTTTATGTTTTTTATACTTGTTTCTTTTGTAATTGGGGTGTTATGTTACAACATTGATTCCGGATTCAGGGAATTGTGAGTTTATCTCTAGGTCGCGCCTTTTCGGCGTTGCCATGACTCGTCTTTAACTTACTAAGGAAAAATTACTATCTCGATTTTGTATTTTCCTGCAGCCAATTGCCAAGTTTTGCCAAGGTCGCGCCACTACTGTTTCGATTTTTGTGGAGATGTTTTCATTTGCCCCACTGATTGATAATCTCGTCCAGATCTCCAATTTTTCTTTTGTGGGTACCCTCTCAAAATGTAACGTTCATTGAGAGTTAAAACAATTAACTTTGCCATGTCCACAACAAAATTGGCACGTTGATTTTGACAAATTTTGGACTTTACGTAGAAGTTGTAGCTAGAATTTGAACCATATTGCAAAATGCATACACAATTTAAATAATATACGCATGTCACTGCAATAGGGACCAAAGTGGGTTCCATTACTTTTGAGGGTTTGATCGTATAACCTTCACAAGGTATACATCCAAAAATGTGTATTGTTTATTAATATCCATGATCTTCACTTTCAAGTTTGTTAAATCTCATTTGCAATATTAAATGTTTATTTATATAATTTATTGCGTAATAACTGTGACAGTAATGGGAATTATGCATTTGATACTTTTTTATATCCTACTTTATTGTTAACTTTTGTAACTTACACAATAAGACTCGTTTATATAAATATTGCAAAATTTAAATTGGAATGGTTCTAGTTTTATTTGAACTAAAAAAGAGAATTTTAATTTGGAACATAAGTAATTAATTTTGATTATTTTTTACTTTAGGGTTCGAAATTATGGATTCTTATGGAATACTTAGGTGGAGGATCTGCTTTAGATTTAATGAAAGCCGGAAACTTCGAGGAAATGCACATAGCTATTATACTACGGGAAGTATTAAAGGGTTTAGATTATTTACATAGCGAAAGGAAACTACATCGTGATATAAAAGCAGCCAATGTATTGTTAAGTGAAATGGGTGACGTAAAACTGGCCGATTTTGGCGTCGCGGGGCAACTTACGAACACGACGAGTAAACGTAATACATTCGTTGGTACGCCGTTCTGGATGGCGCCCGAAGTCATCAAACAATCGGCGTACGACTCCAAGGCGGACATTTGGAGTTTAGGTATCACAGCTATAGAGTTGGCGAAAGGAGAACCGCCAAATTCCGAGCTTCATCCGATGCGAGTGTTATTTCTCATTCCCAAAAACAATCCTCCCCAGTTAACTGGAAACTATACGAAACAATTTAAGGACTTTGTAGAGGCCTGTCTTAACAAGGATCCGGAAAATGTAAGTGCGTCCATGGCGTCGTGAGGGCCATTATTTATTTAATCTTCCTAGCGTCCCACCGCGAAAGAGTTACTCAAATACCCTTTCATTAGGAAAGCGAAGAAAAATTCGTATTTGATTGACTTAATAGATAGGTATAAGAAATGGAAATGCACTCAAAATGAAGAAAGCGAAACAGAATCGGAGAACTCGGATTCGTAAGTATTTGAACTATTTATGATTATTTCTCTAGTTCATCCCATTGCTTTTTTTTTTCATTCGAGATTTTATCATTTGAGGGGAGACTCCATCTGGACCTCCTGCTACTGTTCTTTTTTCTTTTATTTCTTCTTCAACACCTGTGGGTTTTATTTGATCTTGCTCCCACTTTTGTTTGGACTTCTTTTAATTTTTTATTAGTAACTTTATTATTTTTTTGTTTGTGTTAGGGAGGAGCCTAAAATGGAAAATAATCTAGACGAATGGATAATGACAGTTAAAGGAAATCTTTCTCTTGTGCCTTCTACAGACGAAATTACTTCTAACAATAAAATTATCCAAAAAATTCAAAACGGATCGGGTTCGGCGCTCGCAAGGTCGCCCCCTCAAGATTCGAACCTAAACCATTACAGATTAGATAAAGCGACTCCTGTAAGTATTTCTAATATTTCAATTAATCGTTTTATTTTCTTCCATTTCTAGTCGAGACCCGTGCCTCCCCTTCAACCGGTCATAGAAAATAAAATTGATAGAGACAGGGACAGGGATAGGGAAACGAAAGACAGAGAGAAACGAATAGTTCGTGATGTGAACACGTTAGATAACCACGGCGAGTCTGACGTCGAGAAAAAGTCGAACCGACGGCAGGTTTCTCGTGAGCATTCGAATTCCGGTAGTAAATTTGATGCTCGATCGTCGTGTTTATCGAACGTCATATATCCTCTAATAGTGGAGGTAAGTAGTTGTTCTTGCGGTTTAACTTGAGCGTAGGTGAAGGTAAGTAATTGGGAGCTGTGATGGCCTGACCAATGTGTTCACATATATTTTTTTAAATAAATTTTGGTGCTTACTTCAATTAGTTTGTTGTCCAGCAACATAAACACAGTAATTTATTGCTATTGGGGAAGAAATAAAATTACTATGTACAGTCAGGGTCATAAGTAATCTATAGCACTGAGTGTATTGCAGTGATTTGTATTTTCTAATTATTGCTCATCCTAAATTAATGTGGAAAGCCTGATATATTGGCTACAATTGGTCATTACTTTTGATCTTGATTGTACATTGAAAAAAATGTCGACAACATCTCTACGGCGATCTCCATATCTTGTGTCTTTTGTATATTTTTATGTGTATATTTTTCCTTTTTGTTTTTTTTTCTTTTTGGACGAAATAAACATTATTGTTATTTTATTAGTCATAAATAATAAAGTAATAATGTTTATTTATTTATAATTATTATTATTATGGTCAGTCTTCCTCAGAACTCAGGTCTAGCTAGCCTGGTTAACTAATCGCACGGATAAAAATCAAGTAACGATTAGTGTTTGTCTGTATGTCGTTCGTCTAGTCAAGTTTTGTCGAGTCCTCAATTTCGTTATTATTATTACTCGCTGGTGTAGACCCTCAGTGTTCTTAATAAATGCGATCTAGTGCGATGCAATAATACAATTGCAATATTTACTAACCTAACTATTGCTGACCATTAGATGTTACATTCATACTCGTCCTTTCTGGTTCACTGACAGAAAATTTGCCATAAGCAGTGTTTTATTGGAAAAAAATACAGCTAAATCAACATCTTGGTAGAAAACTTGAATAACTTTGTAGAAGAACCAATTTAAATGCCTATAACAGAAAACGCTTCTCTGCCCGATATGAGGGACTTTCCAAATACAGGTTTCAAAATAAAACGATAGGTCAGTATTTTGTCTCTATCTCTATTGATATCTTGTATTAAAAGAATGTACTGACTTTGCATTTTCATTAAGTGCTTGTGTTGTGTCTATTACTTCAAGTGTGACAATCGGTCTTTTTTCTGCACTGATTTCAACTGCATCCAATGAAGTTCAATAAATTCAAAAAAAGCTGGTGTGGAACATCACACGAACTTCCTACACTCGCAGGTCATATGATGAATAGGAACATTACTAATGTATACCTATTTTTAAGCATGATAGCAAACTTTTCATATCTGCCAATATGGAACTGTTTCAGAGATATTTGATAAAAACTAAAAATAGCTTCAAATAAAGTACTTTTACGATAAGGAAAGTTCATAGGCACAATGACATACCTGAATTTAAATTACCAAACTGCAATCGGCGTCTGTCTTTATTTTGGGGCGATCAGAGTTGTTTCGCAGTGAGGAAGTGATACAGTGCCCCCCCCCCCAATTGTTTGGTCGTGGCTTGTAAAAGAAGAGAAACAATTTTTCTTATCAACATTTGTGTATCTCTTGTCCCCAAAGGTACACACAAATCGGCGGAATCCAGGGAAAAGCAAATGCAGGAAAACTGAACAATATTTACCCCTTTTAACTTAAAAGCACACGCTTACCTTTTAATCGGATCGGTACCGCTAAAATTTGCTAAAAGCCAAAAAGTGAACAAAAGTGCAGTACCGTTTACACACGTTTTTCATATTTGCGCATCTGGATTCTTACTTCCATCAGGATTCTACTGCATTAATAGCCTAAAACGAGTTTATGAAATTTATTTTAAAAACCTGGAGTATACAATTAGAAGTAAAAAACCCAGGACCAAAAACAAATCAACGTGTTTGACTAGATCAGTTAAAAAAACCAGATATAGAAGAAAAAAGAATACGAGAAATAGAAACTATTTATAAAACTTGAACAAAAGAACAATTCAACATTGTTAACAAAGACGAATAGTTAACAAATAATATGACTGTATAGATATAAGCAAACAGGAAATAAGAAACGAAAGTTACATTATAAAAAGTAAAGAATTTGTTGGAAACCTATGCGCATATATCTATTCAGTAACTAATTATCTGAATTGACAGCTTATAACAGATGGTGATATGTATTAAGACAGATGGAAATATATAACATTTACTAATTTCATTAAATCTTTTATTCAATATCTCGTAACATAATAATAATTATGTTATTTGGTTGGTTTTTTTTTGCTGACATGGGCCTTCTCACAATCTCTTATACAGAACTTGTTACTAATCAAGTTATTTAGTATAAAACCAACACTTTATGTGAGCATTTCTGTCTGTTCCTTTGTAATTCTTTATTGGTCATGAATTTAGTTATAAACGAAACGTAATTAAATTTACATTGCAGTTGCAAAGGAAATATCACTTCAACGGACGAGGAACTGATAGTTCGCATAAATCGAGCGACGCCATCGAAGAGCTAAAAAACGCGTTCGAAATTGCGGAGAGAAGCAGTCCGGGCATCAGCGACACATTCGTATGTGAAATGGTGCAAAAACTAGTGCCATCTATTACTGAGCAAAGGCTCAAAAATGTCATGGATAAAGCTACTCGGTAGGTGATTTTCTACGCGCCCACATTATTAAATGTTATTAACGTTAGCTTTTAGGGATACGGCGTAGAGAAATGCTACAAATGGAAGTTACAGTTTAATAGTGCAGAATTATAATCAAAAAACCTTTAATAGTCTTATGATGATGAATTCAAGTACGTGACAATATTTCTTCTCTATCGTTTGATTCGATTGTCTCATATCTTGGAAAATAAAGTTTTTTCATCTTAGCGTTTTAACAAATTGTAGCTTACCAGTATTGACATGTTGATTATTGCCATTGTCTTGAGAATAATGTATATATGTATATCGAGAATGAATTATACATTAGCAATATAATATTTTCCCAATGTATTTTTTTAGATTGTATATATACATTTTAATATATATAGCGCAACGTTTTGTTAATTTAATGTAAACTATGAGTTTGGTGAAGAAGAGTGATTATGGTTGCTGCTGTTTCTTTTTCTTTCTGTCTTATCGGTTCAGTCGGAACTATTTATAAAATTAGGTATTTCCTGTTTTTAGCTTTTAATATAATTTTAGTATTCTATTTCCATTTTTCTGGTGATTGATTAAAAGATAGGTCAATTTGTATATGTACGTACAGGATCGGCTATAGTGTATGTTGTAGTTAGTCGAATCATAATTACATGTAGATCCTGTTTTATTGTTAGATGCGATAATATGAATATTATAAATATGCATTGGCATTATTTTGAATTCTATTTGCCACAATTTTCTATTTGCTTTTATTGACGAGAGTACAAATGGAGTTTAATACCACTGTCAGTATTAGTGCATAAGTGGTTTAGTTTCTCAATTTTGCATTTTCTCTCCGTAAAAATTATTTACTTTTATGATTTTCGTAAATGCAATAAGTTTGAATGATGTAATGGATGAACCTAAATCTTTTATTCTTAAATTGTTAATATCTACTATACTAGTTGTTGTATTGTTGAATTGTTATCTGATTTAAAATTTAAACATTTAAATATTTTTATGACAAATATATACAAAACAATTTACTTCATTATATTGTTATGATTTGTACATACTCGTTTGTATAGTGATAATTTTGGTGGATGTATTGCTCCACCGACGCGTATAATTTATTCAATACATTTTTTTTTCATATGAACCATTTTTTGTCATACTTTTTTATTAGTTTTAATTTTTGAATTTAAACTGAATAAAGACGAATGAACGTTTAATTTTGTTCATAACAAACATTGCGTAATATACAAGGTGTTCCTAAATATGACGTAAATACGGAAGGCGCTTATTTTATGGCTATAAAAATTAAAAGTTCATATAAACATAGATCCGCTTCGTCACCTATTGACAGGGTGGTCTTTAAGTTTTAGTGTGCCACTGGTAGATTGCATAATGAGATATCAATTTTCTGGTTTGTTTAGAAACTTTTTGGTCTCATAACTTATTTTTCGGTAGTTGGCTAAATGAAAGTGTAGGTCCTGGCTTTCTTTAGATAATCCCTTGTTTTAGTTTGCATTTGACATTTATTTATTTTTGATTGAGCGGGGTTCCAGCCAAGGCTGCTCTACCAACCCAACCCACTATACATTTACAAATATCCATGCCCGAACCCGGATTCAAACCAGAGACCCTTAGTATTGTGTATTGTAAAATGTTTTTAATTAACCACGCTTTCTATAGTGTTAATGAGTTTATGAGCAGTAACATCAGATTAATTTAATAATTTTTGAATATGTATTTTTATTTTGACGTCTGTATATGCCTCTATAGCATATTAAATTAACAGAAATAAACTTATTATTATTATTGCAGCCGAGCTTTAACACAACTGCGCCACACGGGCTGGCGGTATCTTGTGTTTGAATGTGTAATTGTGAAAGTATAACATACTGTAGATAGATAACGAAGCATTTGTGGACCTATGACAGTCATAAAATAAGCCAAAGAATTAGCCCCTTCTATACGCAGTCATGTTTAGGAACACCCTCTTCTCTCCATTGTAGGTTCTTCGCTATAGCATATTAACATCCTCAAGATATGCAGCCATTTAAGTGAAAAGTTTTGATGCATGATGCAGGGGCGGCTCTCTATAAAGAGCCAAGGAGCCATGGCACCACCTCAAGAAATCAGCTAATGATCAATTCTTAAAATATTAACAATTAATAATTGCGTTCACTAGACTCTAGAGCATATTGTGTTTTAAAACTTAAAACAAAAAAAAGAAATGATTTGATAAATTAGGTACCAAGAATTCAAATGGTGCTTATTGTGGACTTCAAATACGGCCGAGCCGTGCCAAATCTAAACTGGCTCGTACTTTCCTACAAATGTTGACTTCCGCGGAGAGTAGAGGGGTGGGAGGAGCGAAACCGCAGTAGCGTTTTATACGTACAACTTGAGCCACCAGAAGTTTGGCTCATAAGCACAATTGAATATTGTGTACCTATGTGTATTACTATGCTTTGCGCTGTTTTCCGTGCTTCATTCTTGATAAGTCAAACAATTTTTTTTACTTCTGTGTAAGATTACACTTACCGGACAAATTGTTACATAAAATGCATAAAATAAATATTTTTCCATGCATTCTCTGGAAGATAATAAACTTTAAATAAAGCAATACCACACTTAAATATTGTTTAAAAACAAAATATGTCTAAATCTTCTAATTCTAAAGAATTGTAGGACACGACCATAGCGATAAATCCGAAAATGAAGGAGTATTCAAAGAATTAATAAATTTCAGTACTTGTTTAGTATAGATAAAGATTTGAATAGTGTTGAAAAGTGATAGTAGGGGCCTCATTAATAAAACTCCAAATAAAATTGATGCTATTGTTTATAGATAAGACTAAAGCCATGGAAACGGATACTTCAAAAAATCGTGAAAAAAGTAACACTTTCCATACGATTTGTGGTAAAAAAATTCCGCTAATTCTCATCTAAAACTACGCAAAATGAATTACTGAAATATGCATGCTTTAAAGTATATCATGAAGAAATTTCCAAAGAAATTAAAGGGGCTAAATTTGTTTCCGTCACTGTAGGTGAAACTACAAAGGTGTCTCACTCCAGCTTCCAGCCAGTAGACAAATTTTGGAATGTTGTAGATAAATACCTATTAGAATTATTCTCTAAATCTAAACAACTGGAATAATATGGAAACAAAAATTTCTAACTAGTAAAATAATGAGGAGGGGCGAACAATTTGGCACTACCTTCAACGCAGCTTACGAGCCGCCACTGGCATGATGATGAGTTGACATGTGCAATCTATCTTGAACCATTGAATAAGTAACAAGTTATTTACATTCTTGGTGTAAGGCTACTGATCTCTGTTTATTATTTAAGGTGCAATCTTGTTAAGTGTATTCATATTAATTGCGCCGTCTAGAAAAATGCATCAATATTTCAAGCATCTTCCCGTGAAACTAAATATGTGTATGGGTTGAATTCTTCAGTGTACACCACAGTCAACGTTTTATAACACTACCTTTTTTTGAGGCCCGAAAAAAAAATTGTCTCAGATCGACCCGGAAAACAATTTTTCTTATAGAATGTGGCCTGTAGAATCCATAATTTCAAACAGTTCCAGCCCTTTGAATTTTCTTTCGAAATTGGTTACGAATTGTTTTGGATTCTACGCACCAAAATTAATAAGAAAAAGTGTTTTCACGAGAAATTTTGGTGCACTCGATTTTTGGTAAAAAAGGAAGGTTAAGTATTCAAATACTATGCGAAGTATTCGCATACTAAATATTTGTGAAAGTATTTGAGTTACAAATACAAATAGATACTGCTTCCATAAAAGTATTTAATTACAACGTATATGAATACTTTAAAGGATTTGAATACTAAAAATATTTACAAAATCGAATACTGCCCAGCTCTGCTCAATACTCTCTACACTCTAAACTTCGCCACCGGTACTTTGTCAAATTGTCAAAAGTTCATGATAGGAAGAGCCCACATCGAAGGATCAAAAAGCGACGTCGCTATGAACGCTTGGCCGCCACAATCCCTGTGGTAACTTTTCTGACACCTCTTGCTTAAAACTCCTAAAAGCCAAAAGGATCGATAGGCCCCGCTTTCGCGGTCCCTATGCTTACTGAGCATCGGGATCAAGCCAGCATTTGCCCTTTTGCTCTACGCGAGGTTTCTGTCCTCGCTGAGCTGGCCTTGGGACACCTGCGTTATTCTTTGACAGATGTACCGCCCCAGGATATTCATTTGTACGTTAGAATGAATAATTATTTTAGCATTGAATTTAATTCGTTTGAGAATGAACGCCACTGGAAAGTCTTTAAATTACGGCGCCCGTGGACTAATGTTGATAATGTTTCATGTTCAGGTGACATGCGTGTTTGGTTTGGTTTTGCGAGAGCTCATTTTGATTTGTTGTTGCGTCGCGGTTAAGACGACTTAAATCCTGTGGGTTGCGGCTGGGACAAAATTGTTAATTTTGGGAACGCGCTGCCTGGTTTTAGGTAAGGGGCCGTTAGGTTTGTAGAGAGATTTTTTTTTGTTTATGAAATGTGGTTTTAGTTTTCTTGTTCACGGCCGGCAATAAAATCAGTTTTGGGAAAGTGGCATTGTGGTTTTACTCACCCACCCTAAGCTCTGGTACACTAGGACAAAACTTCGCCGTGCAAAAATTTCGCCGCTAGGTCCGGACCGCTAATTCGTGGCGTTCCTGTAACGTATATAATATACAGGGTGACAATTTGAAAACTTACCACCCCCCATATCTTAGTAAATAAACGAGATATTTAAAAAAATCAAAATCCGTTTCGGTAATTCGGAGGGGAATCACAATGACATAGTTGGCGACGCACCCCCTCCAACCCCCTGCGCCCCAGCCACCCCAACTTTTAAATCTTAAATAGTGACCCCCCATGTGTGATATGTCGTTGGAAAGCTCTGAAAAAATGCTTTCCAACCATACCAAATAGCATTACATTTAGGTTAGTAATTATCGTGCAAATCAAAAAATAAACATGGAAAAATCGTATTTAACTTGAACTTCCAAAGCCGACTCGACAGCAACTCATTTTTGATCGCCAGTTATAATCTATTCTCAAACTCTTGTCGAACCTTTCCTATGTTGGTTTTGCAATATTTCGACATTCTTGAATTATTCTCTGTCTTAGTTCGTCTAAAGTTCGCCGGTTGCGTTTTAAATACAACAGATTTCAAATGTATCATATTAGTTTATTTTTAGCGCATTTCCACAAAAATTAAAAAAAATGCGCTATTGTGGCCACTTTGTCCGTCCGTCCGTCCGTCCGTCCGTCCGCTAACTTTGCGACGCTACTAGTTTTTTATCTTAAGAGCTATTGTTCTACTTTTTTCGCTATTTGGTTCGTTATGGTGTCGAGTCTTGTACCAAGGAAGGAATTTTTTCTGTACCGCTTACAAAAAAAGTTATTGTAAAAAAAACAAAAAACCGTTTTTTACATGTTCCATAATTTTACACTTTTGCCGTTTATTAACGATCCTAGAGATCGTTTATAATTTTGCATTGCTATCTGTCGCCTGTCGGTTGGTCTCTCCGTCTGTTCCTTTGTCTGTCTGTCCATCTATCTGTCCGTGTGAACGATAACTTTGTTTAGAAATGTTCGATCGCTTTTACATCTCCGTTAGTTATGAACTGAATTGCATGAAATTCAATATGGGCATAGATTTAGCCATATAATACGCAATGCCAAAAGTTGAATCGAATCGATTCAAAATTCACAGTGCCCTTTTCGCATCTCGACCATTTATAAACCGAATTGCAAACTTTTTTACTTATAAAAGTATTTGAATGAAATTTGATACATAGGCACTTGGAATAAAGGAAAATCAAACGCCAATTTCAAAATTTGGTTTTGCGCATGCGCAGTGCCAACTTTTTTATTTATGGAAGAATTTAAACGAAATTTGATACATAGGCACTTCGAATAAAGGAAAATCAAACGCCAATTTCAAAATTTGGTTTTGCGCATGCGCAGTGCCAACTTTTTTATTTATGGAAGAATTTAAACGAAATTTGATACATAGGCACTTGGGATAAAGGAAAATCAAACGCCAATTTCAAAATTTGGTTTTGCGCATGCGCAGTGCCAACTTTTTTATTTATGGAAGAATTTAAACGAAATTTGATACATAGGCACTTGGGATAAAGGAAAATCAAACGCCAATTTCAAAATTTGGTTTTGCGCATGCGCAGTGCCAACTTTTTTATTTATGGAAGAATTTAAACGAAATTTGATACATAGGCACTTGGGATAAAGGAAAATCAAACGCCAATTTCAAAATTTGGTTTTGCGCATGCGCAGTGCCAACTTTTTTATTTATGGAAGAATTTAAATGAAATGTGATACATAGGCACTTGGAATAAAGGAAAATCTAGCGCTAGTTTCAAAATTTTATTTTGCGAATGCGCAGTGCCAACTTTTTTATCTATGGAACTATTTAAGTGAAATTTGATACTTAGGCGCTTGGAACAAAGGAAAATCTAACATTAGTTTAAAATTTAGGTTTGCGCATGCGCAGTTCCAACTTTCTTATTTAGAAAAGCATTGAAATGAAATTCTTCGCATAAACTGAAATTGAAGTAGCACGTCAACAATGGATTGTCCATGTGCAACGCTATCTTTCATATTTGTGGGCGGATTTTTACGATTTTAACAGAAGTTGCATCTTACAAATGGGAAATGAATGCAAGTGGAAATGCGCTTTATGTAAATCGTTTACGATTACTTTTTAACTTGTTTGATTTGCACGATAATTACTAACCTAAATGTAATGCTATTTGGTATGGTTGGAAAGCATTTTTTCAGAGCTTTCCAACGACATACCACACATGGGGGGTCACTATTTAAGATTTAAAAGTTGGGGTGGCTGGGGCGCAGGGGGTTGGAGGGGGTGCGTCGCCAACTATGTCATTGTGATTCCCCTCCGAATTACCGAAACGGATTTTGATTTTTTTAAATATCTCGTTTATTTACTAAGATATGGGGGGTGGTAAGTTTTCAAATTGTCACCCTGTATATTAATCGAGTATGCAATAGGTTAATAATAAGAACAAGGAATCAATTTATTGGTTACACCAAAAATAGTAGTTGGAAGTTTCAAATTAACAAATAAATTTATATTGTATATAAAACATAACTTGAGAAAAAGAATAAAAGTAATTGGGCGTCCAAAACAACGAAGGTCGGCCACACCAAAAGCTCTTGGCGTCTATTCTGCTATTTAATCCAAATAAAATAAATAAATCACAATCAGAATCAAACATTTTTCAAGAAATTTGAAATGCTATTTACAAAAACCAACTTATCTAAATGGCCTATAGAGTTTGCGAGTTAATGGATCAGTAATTTTGTACACATTATAAAAGGAAAGACGTAATTTGAATTCAGCTGTTGAATTGGAAAAAATGCCTCTGATTTATGTGAAAAGTCAAAAAGGCACTGATTTACTGGTTGTCGAGGGTTTTACGTTTACGAAGGAGCGGCAAAGAATAGGTAAATAAAATAATATGGAAATGCACTGAATATGGTACTTAATTAGGGAATGCAATACCGGGATCGCGGGATTCCGCAGTCTTTTTGCGGGATTAATCCCTTATTACGTAAATGGAGCGGGATCTTGGGGGATTGCAGCATTTATCAACCAAGCTTACCCCCATACATTAGCAACTCTGCGAATTTGATTATTTCGCACATTTTGTTGTTGCAGTTCATGCAATAATTACGCGCAAATCCGTATCTGTTATTAACTTTGTTAAACAGCGAGTGAATCGGACTTATATACTGTTTTAAAACGCAGGAACCGTTATTCTTGTAGCCAATATGCCGGACTCGTCGATTGTTTATAAAAGACCTTAGTAGTATAGTGGCTATATGGAAATATTGCGGCGAATATTCTAGAAATCCAGATAGACATGGAGGGGCTATCACTGGCGACAAGAAAAGACGGCGGATGCCGGATGTGATGTATTCTTTCCGCGAAATCCAATGGATTTTCTTGAGAATATTCCCTTAACTGCACAAAATTGCTTATTTTCCAATGTTTTTTACTATCTAATCAATCTAATGATCCCGCAAATACCGGGATCGAAATTTTGCTGCGGGATTGCATTCCCTATTAACTTATCGATGTTCCGGGTGCTGTCACACGTTTATAACGACACCTGTGGTCAAATCTACTACACATAATCATGTGCCTAATCGAAAGCAAAAATCGAAACGCTATTTTTCTGCCTGAAAAGATATTTCTGTTAACCTTAATCGTATGTGCATTTTAAACAACAAACCTTAAAACGAAAAAAAAAACTACTAATCACGCCAAGGACGGTCCCAAGTCCGTGAAAAGTGAGAGGGGTACTAATCACTGTTTTTTAAAAACTTTGGGCAAACGATATTTCTCCAAAGAGTCCAAACAAACCCTTTCCCACGAGAATTTTTGGTATGGCGAAGTTATGGGATGGAAGCACTCAATACAGCATGTACTTTTTTACGGGCCATTAAAAAAACCGAACAGAACTCAACAGAAGTGAAACTTCCCTAGTTTTAAATGTAAACGAATCTCACTCCACTCATTCCCCTCCGAGCATTTCACTATTTTCGTGACCGGACCTAAATAAGTTTCAATTCAAAAAAAGTTTTGAAATTCTCTAAACGGTGTCTGGTACAGCTTTTGTACCTATCCGTTCAAATAACATCAGAAAAAAATTAAAACAAAATCGCTTAATTGCGGTTTTCTGGCATATCTTCGTTAGTAATCGGAATTTTCTCGTTTTCTAAAGCATTATCTATTTATTTATATTATTAATAATCATTTAATTGCGCATATTTTCTCGGAAATCCCTATACGATGACACTGATCGAAATGGTAGGTATACAATTCGTGGAATGGTATACTACTCGCACCCTTCAATGCTATATGTAACGATTCATTTTTTATATATTACGATGTTATTGTTATGCTGGGTTATTACCTACCTGTGGATTTCTTGCCCGAAATATTTCAATGTTTATTATCGTAGCTCTATAAAAAGAAGGAAGAAGCTGTCAATGGGTAGCTATGAAATGTAGGATGCTATAATGTGCGTGCAACTTCATTACCCCTCCATTATCTTATTGAATAATTAGGTAAACGAACCACTTTATGACTGTCGTAAATGCATTTTGTGTGCCTGCTGGTACTAATCGCAAGATCCTAGTTTTCAATCTAGGTTATATGCAGAATTGGGTTACTAAATCAATGGTTTACGGATGTAGGCTACTAGTGTAGTACACACCAGAATGAGTTCGGGTGCATTGGGGTTATCACAAGAAAGAATCAATGAGCGAGAAACTTTTGTGAATAGGTACGCAAGTGGCAATTAATGAATGAAAGCCGAATTTTTCAATTAATTATACAAGAATGCAAGTGGAGTATTTCGAAACGCAGCATGCATTTAATTGTGCCACGCGACTAATGCAGTTTCAAGTGGTATGTATATACTTTTATACAAGTAATATTTTGAGGTATACTTTCAAGTTGTGGGGCGAATTGAAAAAATGAAGCAGTTTCTTAAAAGGCTTGTGTACGAAATTTTGGTTTCTTAGGCACATTTGAATTTTTTCGAAACGACTTAAGATGGAATTTGGGTTTTTTACAATCGACATTTTGTTGTCAGTTTGACACATCGCCAATAAAAAATGTCCAAAAATGCCAATCTTCTATATGATGAAATATTAAAAGACTCCGATGCAAGAAATGCGGTCCAAAGCGCACCAGTTCACATTTCAGACTCTAAACCAACTAATGAGCCCTTACATCGTACTAGTAGCAATACGGAAAAATTGAAAACTGTAATCACATCGGAAAGGCTAGCGCAACTGCGGAAATGCGTCGATGATGCCATAAAAGAACACAAAACCTTCACCATCAAAGGTAATTTGTATGTGACTCGAGATTATTGGTTACTATGGTTTTCTTTGTAGGAGGTTGGCAGAGTCTGAGAAACCAGTTTCTTCTCAGAGGTTGGATTGAAAAATTTGAACCAACTCCTCCAAAACCAAAAACTTCGCTCAAGGATTCGAATAGTTTTTTGGACGATGTATTTCTCAACCTGCCTCCGAAACATACGTGGGAGAGCGATACCAGCTATGTGGTAAAATGTGAGCGTACCATTATGTCACGAATGCTACAAAACCACCCCGTCGATTTTTACTGGAACATGAAGAGGGAGGCTACCGACTGGCATCATAGAATTAACACCCATCAAATTATGAACAGATTTGTGCGCTCGTTGTTCACGTCCAAAGAAGGATTAAATTTGTTGTTACAACAGATGCATTGGTACTGCGAACCTGGAACCTCCGTCGTTAATTTTCCGAGATGTTACACCTTGGGTAAATCTTTTTTCAAAATTACCCACGTTGCTATATTCAGTTTTAGGATTTCCCGATCACTTTAATAACTTTATTGATGACTTCAGAATCACCTCTTGCATAAATTTGCTCAAATGGCTGACTAAAAAGTATCAATACAGAGATGAGAGTCTCGTTAAGTCCTTCGACGGGAAAGTACCGCACACTGCCCTACAATTCGCGTTAGATCGATCCAATGAGTATTTAGCAGTTCAACGGCATGCTGATATTGATCGCGAGACTGCCAACGTGTGGGACCACGAATGGGACCAATTTTTAACTCACTATTATTGTATCGTCCACGAGCATGGTTTAATTATAGATTCCAACGAGTGGAGCCTTCCACTATTCAATGCGGCTGCGAAATCGGTTTTGAACGAATTAAGAAAGTATATGCCGATGTTTGACGTGGATGGGCTGAAAAACGTTTGGATTTTGAAACCTGGCAACAAATGTCGCGGAAGAGGAATTCATCTGATTAAGCACATGGATGATGTTAAAAAAGTAATGAGTTTAAAGTTAAAATACGTTGTTCAAAAATATATAGGTACGTATCTACTGTTTGCAAAAAAATTCATGCTTTGTGGAAAAAGCAGCTTTGCCCCCAAAACTGTTTTCGTTTGCTGCCGCAAAAATAACAAGCTTCCTTTCAGAGAAACCATTGCTGATTTATCAAACCAAGTTCGACATAAGGCAATGGTTTATGGTGACATCGGTGCAACCGCTCCATATATGGATGTACGGGTAACTGCATATTGAAACGTCACTGCCAAGCACAGAACCTACTAACGTCTTGTATTTTCAGTGAATGCTATCTTCGATTCAGCACGCAAATATTTAACCTTGAAAACTTTCACGAATCTCTACATCTTACAAATCATGCAGTCCAATGCAAGTACGCCAATTATACGCAAAGAGACAAATCACTACCAGAACAGAATATGTGGGATAGCAATATATTTAAAAATTACTTGAAAGATATTGGAAAACCAACCGTATGGGATGACATTATATTCCCTGGTATTACCGGCCTTTGGTCTCTTAATCTTGTTTTTTTTTTCTGACCACACAAAATTTAGATATAACTAGAGTAATTCTTTGCAGGTTTACGTGAAAATATAATTGGAACAATGTTGGCATGTCAAGATACAATGGATCGTAGAGCAAACACCTTTGAGTTATACGGTGCAGATTTTATGCTTGGCGAAGATTTTCAGCCTTGGCTGCTGGAAATAAACTCATGCCCCGATTTGTCACCATCCACAAACGTAACCAGACGGATGTGCCCACAATGTCTGCAAGATGTTGTCAAAGGTTAAACATTTGGGCATTTGCTAATGTATTATAAACATTTATTTCTAGTAATGATAGACAATCGTAGAAATCCAAGTGCAGACACTGGTCAATTTCGACTAGTTTACAAGCAAAATTTGCCGAAACCTCCTCTATATCTTGGAATGAGTCTGCTGGTACGCGGAAGAAGATTATTTAAAACGAAGAAAGCCAAATCAAAAGAGTCCAAGGAGAAACTGACACTATTACAAGACATCACCGATGCTACGATCAACAGGCAATTTCCAAAATTAAGTCCAGTTTCAGATTACAACGGTCCTGTTATAAAAGATTTTATTGAAGATATTATCCACGCGCCTTCAATGGAATCAAGTGGATACGAATTTATCCCCGCACTCCCATCCACTTCGGCCAAAAAGAAACACTCGAGTAAACACGAAAGGGTACCAAAAAAAGATAGCAATTCACATAAAAGTTCTTCTAACAAAACAAATTTTATCAACAGAAATCAAAACGTACAAGAGAACGCTAAGATTATGGAAGTTGGCTATAAAAAATTTCGCAGTATGTTCATCAAAAGCGCTTACTTTGGTCTATTTCAGGACTGGAAAATTAAAAGTAAATTCGCGATCACTCCCGAAGACAAGCTCCATTTATGTCATGAAAATATCGATAAGCCAAGCACTAACCTTTTGAAAAATAATTCAATTTTAACCACATACGCAATGCAGAATCCAAACAAAAGTAATAATGAAAGTGTAATCAATAAAAAATGTAAAGAGCAACAGCGCCTACCGTGTGTAAATGTCAAACTTTCGTTTCCGCAATTGCATAAGATAGAACCTAAGCTAAACTTGGAAAATACCTCGAAAGAGTCGAAAAAAATGTAGATGTTTGTTCAAAGTGAACTCTTTCTTAGTGTTTGTGTTAGACTGTTTTGGAAAGAGGCATAGAGAAAATAGATTGAAGCACTGATCAACCCACATGTTGATATTGTAGGCACGTAAAAGAATATAGGTATCGAAAAGTTTCTTGTTATTAAATGAAGACAAATTGATCGAATCTATTATTGTGCTACATTTTAGCACATTTCCAAAAATCTCAGTTGCGTTGGGAAAATTGGCGCTACGAAGTACTTAAACGTATTTCATTTGTTTGAGGTTCAGAACATTACTTAGATAAGTTACTAATTTTGAAGTTGTGGGCTCAGGGCTTGAATGTTCAAAAACACATCCCACAGATCGTATATATAGTTTAGTTTGCGATAGGTTACGTACTTATGATCATACACGATGGCATTCATTTTGTATCCGCACTGATTTTTAGCGCATTTTTGCAAAAATTTTTTTTTGTAAAAAGTAGCTTTTAATCTCACTTTGGCTGGCTGGCTGGCTGGCTGGCAGTAAATGCGCGCCCGTAGAAAAACGCTTGTAAAAAGACAAGGAGTGTACATGCAACTATCGGGGCCGTGTAATTAAGAACGTTAGGGATGGGGCTACAAGATTTGGAGTCGACGACATCTGGACGCCATCCCCGAGCGTATTATATACTAACCTGGAGATTTTTCAGTTTTTATCTATCTTCTTCTACAGTTTTTCTCCGATTGTTTTCAAATTGGTGTCGTCGGGAAGATCTTGTCAACGCGCACAACTCCTGCGTGGCGGAATTTTGTTTTTTTTCCTAGGGGCGAAATAAACCACCTTTTGCGCGGCACGCTTCGAGGGGTAGTCGACTTTGGGCGCCCAAAAGTTTCTTACAGCGCGAATCGCGGTCTCTCTTTCTCGTGTCACTAATAGAAGGTCGAGCTATGTGAGTACCCAAAAGTTGAATACGATTTTATGCCGGGATTTTAGCGAAATCTACCAAAATGTGAATTACGAATGAACGGGACGTCGGAACTGTGTATCGACAAAGGGAATGTGAAGGGAATGTGGTAACCCCCGACGAGATCTTACTGATGGTGGAGTCGAAACTTCAAATCCGAATTGTTGCGGGTGATCAGAAGTGGGTGTCGACAAAGGGAATATGGTAACCCCCGACGAGATCTTACTGATGGTGGAGTCAAAACTTCAAACGCGAATTGCGAGTGCACGGTAAGTGAGAAAATAGTACCGACAAAGTGAACGTGGTAGCTTTCGGCAAGATCTTATTGATGGTGGAGTCAATATTGGCTAATAAAACACTGATCTGCCACACAAAAATGCGCTGAAGTCCCTTCGATCTCACACGAGGACTTTGATAATTTTTTCTTAAATCTACTATTCGTCAAGTCAAGGGGTTTATATAACAAGGGTTCGTTCTGCGAGCAATGACTATAAAATCTACAATCATTTCTGAATTCCCGACGCGATGTAGGAGCAAAGAGTAGGATACTCTTTGGTAGGAGTAACCATGCTGTCGGAAACTAATGGGAAATCGAAGTTAGGTATACCTATACATGCAAAAATGTGAGAATAGTAAAATGGGGTGAGATGACGGCTTACATTCCCGAAAAACAATGGAGAATTTAAATAGGCGCGTTTACTGAACAGTAACAATCGCTGAACCCATTGCTCTAATTTTTGACAGTCTTCTTTGAAATTCGTCGCGGGCCGCGCGTCTTTGCGCACCCCTGGTATAATAAAGTTGCCTTAGCTTATCCTGTCATCGGAGCATCTTCACGTCGATTTATCAGGGTAATCTGAAAAGATTCTGTTGGGCAATTTTTACTTTATTTTATTTATAAGTAAATCCTTTCTTCTTCTTTTTTTTAAATTAATTTTCCAAAAGAACCCTAAATGTGCGTTCTATAAATAATGGTTTTAGCTGTAAGGAGATGCTAGATAATGAATATCTGGATGCTGTTCTTGAATTGTGGTGTTTTGCACATCGATATCGAGGTTAATATCGAGTTGAGGCCGATTTGCATGAAAGGTAAAACTTTTGTAATTGGTTGCATGGTGGCATCTAGTTTGTTGGGCTCAAGGACATCAGTATTCATCTTTTTAATGTTAACTAGATTGGACATAAACAAACGTAATTAGATGCAATTAGTCACGGGGAACCGACTCTAACTTATTATACAAAAATTCAATGTTCAAGTACTTAATGTTTTAATTACAGTAGTAAATATTAGTAATATTTTATGTTAACTTAATTAATTAACTTAATTACTAATTAGAAAATCCCTTTCGGCTCGGCCGATCGGATGTAGGTAGATTTCTCTCCGTCATTTCCTTCCAATATCGCAGAATTGGCTGATTCACGATAATTTGACCGAGATATTTAGTTACCCCAACCCTAATATGGGCCGCTTGCACATAGGCAGTTTAAGCCTCGCTTGGAATTAACCAATGGAGTAAGGCTGGTTAAATTTGACGTTTTGTCAAATTTGAACTAGGTATAATCATGGGCCGGTTGCACAAAGACAGTTTAAACCTCGTTTAGTTAACGCAATGGATTACGATATATGAACGTCAAATTTTAACCAATCTTATAGACCTTAATCCACTGGTTAATTCCAAGCGAGTTTTAAACCGCCTTTGTGCAACCGGCCCTTAAAGTATGGTCGAAATCTGTTCATAATTACGAAGTGTTTCTTGGAAGTGATATATAAACCTATACCTAATTATACTGGTACCATTACAATAGGTAGAGTGACCAAGAGGTAATTTTCCAACACCGTACTTCCCTTTCTGAGATTGCCCTTCAAGCACTTCTCCGTATCGGTATAAATAGTGTATTCACTATCCCCTTATCTACGTTCACTGATTCAATCACTGTTAGAACTAAAAACAAAGTGTTGTTTGTAACAATTGCTGGACATTGCTATGTATTGCAGCAAAGCGGGTACCTTGTAATAAGCACTACTAACAACTTTACTGAAAAAACGGCACTCATTTCTTCGATTTTCGACAATTATACGCCTGTGTTTATTTTGAAATCGACACTGAAGATTACGATCAAGCTTATCTTGAAAAGATTAATTTATTAAAAGGTTTTCGCCTCGGTTTTCGCATAACATCAAAATCTAGCAACTGATTAAAGAAGTGCTCATATCCGATGTTCATTATAGCTTTTTCACAGGTATTACCTGATTTGAATGAGTTGACTACAAAACGACAAATAGTTATCTACATAAAAGTCAAGAAAATAACACATTATTGGCGAGGAAATATTGAAGTACGAGGCCCCCATGGCACCGAGTTTCCGAATCAAGTAATGTCGTTTTACTGACGAGTTTGGTATTACATTTTTATTTATTTATTTAATCATTACATAATCCCATGACCCATGCTATCCTTTAATTTTTTTAATTTTTTTTTAATAGCTAATTTACAGCCTGCTAGTTACAGCTATAAGTAAATGTGATCATCGAGCTACATTTGAGGAAGAAGTTCTCCAGTGAGAGCTCTCCTATAAGATAATAGGTCTCTGATTTGACTTAATCGATCACTGATTTAGCATATCCGTAGGCCACTGTTTTTTTAGTCTTCTGATAATGTTGGGCTGAATGTAAAGTTGTCTTGCTTCCTCATTGGGATGTTCTGGGAGCTGATTTAGGTATTTTCTTGTTAGTCTGGTGATTTCTTCTCCAACAGGCGGAATACCAGAGTCGTCATGCAGGGTCTTATTACCTACTAATGTACCATGGTGCATTGAATATCATTCTAAGTATCTTCGATTGGATTCTTTGTATTATTTGTGTATTGGATGGTTTAGCACAGCCCCAGAGTTGAACTGCATACGTCCATATTGACTTTATTATACACTTATATAGTAGTATTTTATTTTCTGTGGAGAGTTTTGATTTGGGTCCTATTAGCCAGCCAATTTGACGAATTTTTAGGTTTAGGTATTTGTGTTTTCTTTGCTGTGATGTGAGCTTTCCATGTAAGTTTTTGATCGAGTGTTAGCCCTAAGTATTTCACTGGTAATTGTATGTTATTTAGAGTGACAGTGGGACATACGATATTTCGATTAGTGAACGTGACTTGAGTTGATTTTGTGTGATTAACTGTGACTTTCCATCTGTTCATCTAATCTTGAATGAGGTTGAGGTGTGCTTGCAGGTTTGTCAGATGCTATTTGCGGATTATCACTCATTGATATTATGGCGGTATCGTCGGCGAATGTGGCAATTGTAGTGGAGTTTGTGGTTGGGATGTCAGCAGTGAAAATTAAATAGAGAAGGGGGCCTAGGACGCTTCCTTGAGGAACGCCAGATTTTATAGCGTAATAGTTTGAGGTATCGGTGTTGAATCTTACTTGAAAGAATCGGTCAATGAGATATGATTTTAGAATCAGGTAGTGAGGTGTGGGAAGGAGCGTTTTAAGTTTATATAGGAGACCCTCATGCCACACTCGGTCGAAGGCTTGCTGAACGTCCAGGAAGGCAGTTGTACAAAAATTTTTCTCTTCTAGGCTTGTGTGTATGTTTTTGACGATTCTGTGGCGTTGTACCGTTGAGTGGCTTTCTCTAAAGCCAAATTGATGGGTTGGAATTACTATGTTTAGTTCAGTGTCTTCGGAGATTCTTTTCAGCAGTTACGGTTTTAATCCCGATTAAATAAAATAGCAACCGCATAAGAACTGTCAACTGACACCCATTCATGCAGGGTGATTTGGGGATTGTTTGAATTTTTCGCGTTACGCGTAAGTAGTTAAGGTTTTAGCGTTTTTGCAGTATTCATTCCACGATGTGTACTTTTTCAGTTTTCAGCGATGTTTTATTCAATTTAGTGGCTCTTAGCGAAATGCGTTCGAATTGAGGGCCATATATGTTGCTTGTAATTCTTTTGTTTGTGGCTTTAGCTTTAGGTAGATTGTATTGGTAACTTTCCCGACTGTTTTATCAAGGATGATACGTTAATTTGCATGAAATGTTTAATGCACTGTGACTTTGCTCTTACCTACTATAATTAATTGACGCTGGTAATATGTGTTAATGATTTTTTATTCGTAATTCCAATTTTTCTTGTTTGCTAGTTTAAACAACTTGTAATTCCAATAAGTATAGTAAGACAGTTATCAATAGCACCGCTTTTAGTTGTAACACCCTATAGTGTGATTAACGTATTAATTGGGGAATTGATTGGAGATAAACACAATTTCCCAATTCTTCTATTTCAACTATACCATTTTTAGCGCATTTTTGCAAAAATTTTTTTTTGTAAAAAGTAGCTTTTAATCTCACTTTGGCTGGCTGGCTGGCTGGCTGGCTGGTCGGCTGGCTGGCTGGATGGCAGTAAATGCGCGCCCGTAGAAAAACGCTTGTAAAAAGACAAGGAGTGTACATGTAACTATCGGGGCCGTGTAATTAAGAACGTTAGGGATGGGGCTACAAGATTTGGAGTCGACGACATCTGGACGCCATCCCCGAGCGTATTATACTAACCTGGAGATCTTTCAGTTTTTATCTATCTTCTTCTACAGTTTTTCTCCGATTGTTTTCAAATTGTTGTCATCGGGAAGATCTTGTCAACGGCACAACTCCTGCGTGGCGGAATTTTGTTTTTTTTTCCTAGGGGCGAAATAAACCACCTTTTGCGCGGCGCGCTTCAAGGGGTAGTCGACTTTGGGCGCCCAAAAGTTTCTTACAGCGCGAATCGCGGTCTCTCTTTCTTGTGTCACTAATAGAAGGTCGAGCTATGTGAAGTACCCAAAAGTTGAATACGATTTTATGCCGGGATTTTAGCGAAATCTACCAAAATGTAAATTACGAATGAACGGGACGTCGGAACTGTGTATCGACAAAGGGAAAGTGGTAACCCCCGACGAGATCTTACTGATGGTGGAGTCGAAACTTCAAATCCGAATTGTTGCGGGTGATCAGAAGTGGGTGTCGACAAAGGGAATATGGTAACCCCAAAGGATTTTACTGATGGTGGAGTCAAAACTTCAAACGCGAATTGCGAGTGCACGGTAAGTGAGAAAATGGTACCGACAAAGTGAACGTGGTAGCACAGATTTGTCTGTGGTGGTAGCTTTCGGCAAGATCTTATTGATGGTGGAGTCAATATTGGCTAATAAAACACTGATCTGCCACACAAAAATGCGCTGAAGTCCCTTCGATCTCACACGAGGACTTTGATCATTTTTTCATCCATTTCTCACGTTCAGTTTATCCCAGGGTTTATCCTATATCTTACTGGGTGTGTCTTCGGCTTTTTCGTTTGTAATTGTAATATCAATATCTTCAACTCGCCTTTGATTTATAGTGTTTTCGTCCTTATTTTTCTTTCCAACGAATCTAATTTTCTGTCTTGCTGTAGTATTTTTCGTCCATTAATGTCCCTTTATTGCAGTAGGTAATTCAATTTTCTCATTCATTACTTTTAATTTGTTTGCTATTTCGGCGAACATGTTTTCTACTTTTTCCAAAGCAAGGGAACATGAAAAAGCATATGTACAGTAACTAGTGGTAATTTATTTCCTAATATAAGTTGTAATAAGTTATAAAAGTAATGCCAATACCTATACTATTTCCCGACTGGATACCCTGACAAAAGAAGTGATTTTACTGTGGGAACCAATCCCAGATGAATCCCCAAATCCAAAATCAATAGACGCCTGAACCCGACCAGAAATCAATGTTTTCATTTCTGATTTAAAAAATGCATGATGTAATGAGATTATTCATAAAAGTTCACTATTAGGTATAGGCTTTGAATATAATATTTTATATTCAAAGGTAGTCTGTAAGTTGAACTGTAAATTTTCACTACCTACCTAGACAAAAAGTTTCAAAAAGCCAAATTGTTACGTGTGGGATTATAGCATTTAACTTGGAAACGATGATTGGGTCACTTTTTTACCGAATGATGTCAGGAAAAGATTGTGTTACCTTCCATTTGACTGCGTCCTATAGTTTAACAATTTTGCTGTTTTTAGCCAAACTATACTATTATCGCAACTCAGTTATAAAATAATATGTCTTCGACTGTCTACTTTGCCCCTAGATCACCTATCGAAATTCGAATTCAGGATTTCCTTATGATAGGTACCAGCACATATCCTCCAGATGCGCACAAAGCAAATTCTTGAAATGCCTCGATAAAACCCAGTGGTTTGATCAATACCTGAGGATTGGGTTTAATTCTGCACTTTTGAGAGTATGAAATATAGGCTTCGCTTCTGCGTTAGTATGAAATATAGTTATTTGTACAGAGAAGACAGTGGAATTTTTCAACTCGAGTTCAAAGTTTGATACATCTTTCTTCCCAAGTTTTACATATTTTTTTTTCTACAATCAAAAATGAAAAATTATCGTATGCAATAATGAAGTTTGACACACAGCAATCTAGATGCGCGTCTGTTTCGATTTTAAATGTCATTATTAAGATTAACGCGGCAATTGTTTTTTACTTTCCTCACTAGAGAGGAAATTCACATTTTCTTCACCCTTTTTAGAGATGAAACTAGTTGTTTCTAAAGTTTCAGAAAAAAGTAATTACTCGTTAATTTCAAGAAATTTTTCTACACAATATAAGTGGGTAACATTTAATGTTGCGTGCTGAACTGTTAAGTGATAATTACATCGCCTGGGTGACTACGCAAATATTGTTTTTTTGGGCGTCGATTTCGAGTGAATATTAGTTGTATTAATTGAATAAGCTGAAATGTTGGTTTTCCGATTGATAATAGATACAATGATTTATTTGTTCAATAATTTGACGTTCGACTATGTATATAATTTAGAAATTTTGAAAGATTTGGCGAAGGACAGTAAAACAATGATTAGTATGTTTAATTACAGATTCGGATTCGCAGAAAATGTTCCACTTAACATATAATTACTTACTTTTGTCCTTTTTGCAAGTTATAATTTATCGACGATATTCAAGGCAACAAAACAATGTAAATTAAATATAAACTATAATAATGGGAATATGCAATTTTTTTCTAATTGCCTTCTGAAGTATAAAACAGATGAAATTGTCAAAAGCTTGCTATAGTGACCTGCTGTTTCTGGTGAGCTATCATGTATAAAATAAGCGCTTTAGTTATTTTGTGCGTTTCGATACCTACAATACTGGTTTGTACATATATGGTGTTAGAATCCGCGATACTAGTGACGCATTTTTTTAGTGCATGAGCGACGAAATGCAAGAGTTACTCGACATGTTGCACAATACCTGTAGGGAGCAGTCAGGAGCGGCAGAAGGTAATAAAGATCACGTTTGCAATTCCTTATAAGCACATTTTGTTTAGATGTAATCCGTGCGGTTTCCAAAGGAGTATTTGCAGATGACCAAAATTTAAAATGTTACGCTAAGTGTATAATGACTGAAATGTCAACTGTAAGTAGCTATCAAAAATGGGCATTACGATAATTCTACCAAATTATCTGGATTGGTTACAATACTTGCGCAATTGTTTCCTTGGTAATTTCTATCTAACCAAGTGGAATTATCATATAGCTCCATTATTATTGAGAACCAAAAGCCTTTACTTGTCCTTCTTTAATTAACATATAGTGAAGGCAAATGTTGCTAAACTGAGTCGCCCTCCCACTCCTCTCATCTCATGTTGTGACGTATCGAGATGATACTCTGTAACCAAGAATAAGTTTTTGTAGATTAGCGACGATGGAGTTGTTGATGTGGAGGCTACTGTTGCCTTACTTCCGGAAGACGTTCGCTCAAAATTTGAACCGACCGTAAGGAAATGCGGTAGTCCAGGTAAACTTATTCCGTTTTGTGCCAATCTTACACGTTTTGAAACACATTCGTTTCAGCTGGTGCCGACGCTTGTGATACTGCACTCAAAGCTTTCAAATGTTACTATGAAAACGATCCTGCGGTAGATTGTTAATTATTATTGACTGTTTTATACTCTGATTTTATTTGCAGGACTTCTTCTTCCCTTAAGCACTGGTTCCACGATGGATGATATTGACATTGAAAATCTTAATTACCTACAAACACCTAAGTAGTTAATTATTACTGTAAATAGTTGTTTGAAGACATTTTCTTAAGTTAAATATAATGATAAATGAAAATAGTTTGTTTCTGTCATTACGAATACCTATATTCAGGATTAATGAACCCATACCATGTAGGCCTGTAATTATATTTCGATAGAACTCTACGATTCTACAGTATTTTCCAAATCGAAATTTGAAAAAAAGTGGCGCTTTCTTAGATATTTTCGGAGTTTTGGAAAGAGATAATGGTTACATGGGGGCAGATCGGGACTGTGAGGTGAATCAATCATTTCTGGAACATCTTATGCATTCTGCAGTTTTCGTGCCAGGTTTATGAGGTCTTTTTTGCGTATTTCCACTTCAAGTTCTTAATTGCGTCTTTGTGAACATCCCCCGCTATTGTAAATCTTTTTTGGCAATACCACAGATAGGTAATCTGTAGCAATAACTACTCGAATTAGAATTAGAAAGTCCCAGAAAACTGAGGCTGTTTTGGTTAAAAATTGCGCACAATTTAGCCTTGTTTATTGTTATTTTACCCTCAGACGCATTTTTCACCACTGTCCCTTTATTTACTTTCGGAAAACATTTAGTACTTTGCACAACTAGAAAGAATACACTACAGTAGAGTGAATATCGCCGATATCGTGATTTGTCGTGCATATAAACAGTTCTTGGATGAAAAAATAATGATTGAAAAAATTATCAAAGTCCTCGTGTGAGATCGAAGGGACTTCAGCGCATTTTTGTGTGGCAGATCAGTGTTTTATTAGCCAATATTGACTCCACCATCAATAAGATCTTGCCGAAAGCTACCACGTTCACTTTGTCGGTACCATTTTCTCACTTACCGTGCACTCGCAATTCGCGTTTGAAGTTTTGACTCCACCATCAGTAAGATCTCGTCGGGGGTTACCACATTCCCTTTGTCGATACACAGTTCCGACGTCCCGTTCATTCGTAATTACATTTGGTAGATTTCGCTAAAATCCCGGCATAAAATCGTATTCAACTTTTGGGTACTTCACATAGCTCGACCTTCTATTAGTGACACGAGAAAGAGAGACCGCGATTCGCGCTGTAAGAAACTTTTGGGCGCCCAAAGTCGACTACCCCTCGAAGCGCGCCGCGCAAAAGGTGGTTTATTTCGCCCCTAGGAAAAAAAACAAAATTCCGCCACGCAGGAGTTGGTGCGCGTTTGACAAGATCTTCCCGACGACACCAATTTGAAAACAATCGGAGAAAAACTGTAGAAGAAGATAGATAAAAACTGAAAATCTCCAGGTTAGTATAATACGCTCGGGGATGGCGTCCAGATGTCGTCGACTCCAAATCTTGTAGCCCCATCCCTAACGTTCTTAATTACACGGCCCCGATAGTTACATGTACACTCCTTGTCTTTTTCAAGCGTTTTTTCTACGGGCGCGCATTTACTGCCAGCCAGCCAGCCAGCCGCCAGCCAGCCAGCCAAAGTGAGATTAAAAGCTACTTTTTACAAAAAAAAATTTTTGCAAAAATGCGCTAAAAAGAGTTAGAGAGACAGACAGACAGGCATACACGAATGAAAATCGATGTGCAAATCCACTTTAGTGGAAGATTTCTCAATTTCATATTGGATATAGGTGTCGACCCTAAACTTTGATTTATATTTATTATTCCTTAGTATTGAAACTATTTTTTTAAACTTTCAGTTACTTACGTATTTTTTTGGTGCATGTTAAACTTGAATATGACAAATCAAAAATTCCCGTTGTACCTACCTAATGCTAAAAAACTAAAATTTCGTGTATATTTTGATCCAACTTTAAGGGGTTGATACCTAGGTATAACTTTATCTAACACTTTCAGAGACTTTTCGAAAATTTAACAGGTTTAACTGAGTTGGCAGATTTTGCTACGATATCAATTATTGCCACAATTGTTGCCATGGTAATTTCCATTCCGGTTAATGCAGTTACAAAAAAACAAAAATATTATCAACTTTATTACAATGTCTCAAAAATGGGTGTCATTATATATCTAAAATCAAGGAATAATTATTAGTTACTCTTTGCTAAAATTCTAAAGAGTGAAGAATGTAGTGGTTGTGCCGGTTGAATCAAAGTAAATGGTATAAATAGGAGCTGTGCATCACAAACTCATTCCATTCATAGATAGTACATACAGCAACAGGAACGTGCGTTGAATGTATTTAAAGGAAGCTTAATTTCCCATAATTCAGTCAGTTCTGCGACTCTAGAAATCACAAAAGAACAAAGAACTCAGGCCAATGCAGAACACAACAAAATCTAATGGATTTAGAATTCAATTTCATTTTCTATATTAAAACTGGCAACAATTTTTACAGAAAATTATTCACGAATTTAAAGCTAATAAGATTCCATTTCAATTTTTTGGACAGTCAAGCTTTCAATTAGCAATAAAATATCGAATCACAGTCTTTCCTAACAAATATGATACTGAGCATTAGGTAATCACAAAATTTGGCACAAGACTGCCCTTAACACAGTTTGAGATTATTGGTTATAAAGAGGATTCTTGAATTCGGAAGTGGCTTTCTTATAAAGTGGATTATCACTTCTATTCCATTTGGCGCTAGCCCTCTCTTTTTCAAATTTCGCATACTCCTGCCTATCGTGGATGGTGGTTCCTACCTTCCATATCACTAGGAGAATAATACCTGCCAGAACTATACTACCGATGACGAGTAACATTATTGCTAAAATGAAAAAAATGAAACGTAACCGTAAGGTGGCAGTTTTACTTACGTACTCAAAATGTCGACTCTTTCACTACATATTTTAGTTCTTTGGGCGGTGACCATAATTTCGTTACTCTCATCGTATGTGTACTGAAAGATTATTGTACAGCCCGAGTTGTCTGGAGTTCTGCAAATTTTAACGTTCTCATAGGTATCTTCTTCATTGATTTTGTCGATTACGCTGACAGTGAATGCTGTACATTTAATGAGACAGTCAGATGGACTATAGACCCCCGATTTGTATGCCTGGCATTCTACACAGTTTCGCAGCTCCTCGCACCTGAAAATCTCAAAATTTATTGACCCGTTATCTAAATGTCTATGAGTACCTCTGCCCTGGACAAGAAGGACATTCTTCACAGTACTTTCCGGAGTACCTAAATTCATCGACAACGAAACACTGGCATTCGCCACAAGCACAGCTACCTTGTCCGGAACAGACAGCACCTTCACTGTTAGGAGCTATACATGTCGTGTTGGTATCCGGGCATTCGCAAGCTTCACCAGTCCAGCCCGCCAGGCACTTGCACTGTCCGCAATCGCAAATGCCGTTGTCTTTTCCAGAGCACACCTGCCCATTGTTTCGCTTACAGGAATAATTGTCGCAGTGGCAAAATTTGCCGTAAATAATTTGTGGACTTGGACGCTTAACGCACTCGCATTTGCCACATTTGCATGACCCCAAACCTGAACATATCTCCGTACTGTTGATATTGGGCTTACAGTCGCTAATATCGTCGGTAATTGAGGTTGTTCTGTCGCACTCGCAATTTCTACCGAACCTACCGGGATTACACCTGCACACGCCGCATTGCAGATCACCATGGTCAGTACAATTGGGCGATTGAGAAATAAAATCGGGATGGTAATTGTGCTCGCATGGACAATCACAGGTGACAGTCAATTCTATTTGAAGACTTTCGTCTATACCCTCAGGTTTAATTTTGATTATTTGAGGAGGCGCGCCGGATTTTTGACATTGCAAGGGGCGAATAGTTGCTGTGAAGTCGATGATTTCACCAACGTGAATATTACTGCACCCATTTTCTTTGGGTTTCGAGCACTTTGAGGAGTATTTGATTTCCACCTCGTTTCCAGAATTATCGGTTATTGCTACAGTGTCTACGATTTTCTAAAAAACTTCAAATTACAACACCACCAGCACTTACATTCCAACTTACGTTGTAATTCTCCGCCACCAAACTGACTACGTTATCGGAATTTTGCGTGAGTCCACCGGCAACCGAATTTTCGATACGTTGCTGTAATCTTTCGTAAATTTTGACAATGCGATCATTTCCTTTGCCTTTAACTATCGCAAAAATTAAGTTAATATTATTTTGTTTGGCAACGTAGTTTATTTGCGATATGGAGGGGTAGTCGTAGATTAAATCGTGCGTGTACTTGTTGTTCTCCATGTGGCATTTGGCGTCGTTAGGCTCCACGACTCCTGCCAATTTGCCATCGCCGGCGATATGAAAGTCAGCATCCGTCGAAAAGACAATCAAGTGACGAGCTTGGTCGCGCCAACCGATCTCCTTTTTGCAAACCATCGCTTGCATGACTGCATCGAATCCACCTTCGGGGAAATCTAAATTTCCCGAAACCTTCGCCTTTTTAACTTCCTCCGAGAACGCCTTCGAGTTATCTGTTAAGGACATGTGATTTTTAAAGCTGTACGGAGGAACGCAGTGTACGATTTCGCCTTGCTTTCGGAAGCTGCATGGGGAGTTTATTCTGTAACAAAATCGGATGTAGGGTGCGGTTACAATAGACGAAAACACTTACTTTGCCGGTACTGTACTGATGAAAGGCATATCCGTTTTGTCAACGAAGCTTCCAAATCCCAAGCGGAAATTACTGGTCAAATTTCGCATAGTCTCCGCTAACTTACCACCAAGTTTGGCTAACTTCTCTCTATGCTCTTCCATAGATGCCGATAAGTCCATAATGTAGTATAAGTCCACGGGATAGTTTTCTGCTTGTCTGTATTGAAAAGGTAACATAAACTCTTCTCCCTTACGAAGGGTGAGCCTAACTTTCTGCGGCCCAATTTGAGTGGCTGTTCCGTCCTCGTGAGATTGCAGCTTGTCATTCTTATCTATAATGTAAACCTTTGCGGGATCGACTATTTTACTTTCGGAGCACCACGTTTGTTTGTCAATGTCTTTGTTTGCGCAATGAATGGGTGTTGTTCCATTGGAAATGGACGCATACTAACATCGCACTTATTAATATTATCGACACGAATTATTAAAATACATACCGGTTCGATGCACCATATACATTCAATATCCTGTATACAATCACTACATTTTTCGTTAGCGAAACAGTTTGTTTTTGCTTGAACTTGAAGGGAGTACAATGCGATAAGAAGTAGAAAGCTTAAAAACTTCATGATGCTGCCCGACTGTTTTTTCAACTGATCACTATCGGCCAAAAAACGGATGTGCGGTTGTGACGTCAGTCTACACATTAGTAATCACGGAAGTAAGAAACCATGGGCAATATTTTTAGTAAACGCTGAAGGGAAGGTATTTAAAGACTGAACGCTACTTGAAAGGAAAGTTTGTATAATGTGTCAAGCGTTGATATGATTTTAATTAAATATGTAATTACCCACATATCTCTAATAATGTTGGAATGTAATGTTATGAATAGTCCAGGTACGTACCTACCAAGAATTGGATTGTCAGATTCAGATAGGCTCGTGAGTCAGTAGTTATGAGTACCCGTTATCTACCGTCAATTATAGTCATACTTAAAAATGGGAAACATTTATCTGTAGGTAGTTCCGCTCGCCCAAAAATGTAAAGATAAAAGTAAACGGTTGGAAACGATAGTATACCTACCTACCTACTACAGATTAACATAAAAAATGTCGCCAAAAGATTCTATAGGTCAAACAAACTAAAACATTAAAATTGTGCCTAACTATAAGAGAATAAGTGAACCTTTGCAGGGAATAGGTCGGTTGGACTCCTCTCCAGGTCCATTTTTTGGAAAGTCATTTTTGGCACAATATTTAGTAATTTTCAGTCAGGACATGTGATTGGTTTTTTGCAAGGAATAACATCATTCTTTGCAAAAACATCCATTCAACATCGTTAAGTATGACTTTACAATACTAGCTGTAGCTGTGTATACTACCATTGAACATTGAATAAATAAATAATTTTACTTATTCAATGATACTACCTACTCATTTCTTAACAAACAAACTGAAACTAGGGATTAATAATAACATAAAATCTAGATTTTAATTTTGTGTAGGTAGTATAGACAAAGGAGACATGTAGAAAGTACATGCTTGTTTCCATAATGAGCGATGAAGCAAAGGAAATTTGCCAACAGCTAAAACTGCATGATACTGCCCAAAATACCACCGCCACACTTGTGGCACAAATTCTAAAAAAAGGCAGTAAATGCCTCATACATACATGGCGCTTTTGTGCATTGGCACTTTCAAAAAATGTGTACATTATAAAATGCTTGTATAAAGTTAAAACATCTCATACTCATACTCAATCACTTGTATTGAATGTTGTGAGGATATTGAAACACCCTTATTTATAAATTGCTTATTTCATTAAATTGCAAAAGCAAAAAAGTCTGTAGAGATTACACCAAATTAGATTTATTTATGAATAATTAACTATCACAATTGATCACAATAACATTTTAAATACATAATAACACAGTCAGATTTTATTGTCTACACGTTTATGCACAATGCCATGTGATTTTAATGTACTGCTTTGATTAAATGACTGGCCACAAATTTTACAAACATAAGGGCGTTCGCCTGTGTGAATTCTTGTATGCTTCACTAGCATCATTCTGGTGGTAAACCCTTTTTCACACACTTCACAGTTAAAGGGCTTTTCGCCAGTGTGAGATCTAAGATGAACAGTTAGTTGACCTGAAAGTAGCATAATATGCGAATGTAAACACAATGTGGTTATAAGTTACCTGTAGTTGACATTTGCTTCCCACACACAGTGCACAAAGCTGTCTTTCTTCCACTATGAATCAATCTATGCCTCTTCATATCATTGCTCTGTCGAAAAGCGAACCCACAAATATCACAAATGTATGGCCTTTCATCCGTATGGCACCGCATGTGTACTTTTAAAACACCTGCAGAGATTAACTTGCAACTGCGGTACAAATATTTCAAATACTACCTTTAGATGTGTAACGTTTTTCACAAACTTCGCATTTATATGGTTTATATCCGCAGTGCGAACACAAGTGGTGCTGTTCTAAGTTACTCTTCTGCCGAAAACCTTTTCCACAGATTGAACATAAAAATGGCTTTTCGCCAGTGTGATGTTTCATGTGCTCAGCTAAAATACTAGGATACGGAAATTCTTTACCACAAACAGAGCAAATGTGTACTTTTTTCATGTAATTTTCTTCGTGTGTTACCATATGACGCCTCAAGCTTTCCGCAGTTAAACAACCTTAAATCAAAGATAAGTACTGTGTATCATTTGAAAAGTCTGCTAAACCTTTGTCACACTTTTCACAAGGGAATGGTTTCTTATCTGAATGTTTAAAGCTGTGCCTTTTTAATAAGTACGAATAATTAAACCTTTGCCCACACACATCGCAAACATGCAGCTTATCTTCAAGATTCGTATGAGTTCGCTTGTGCAAGGTTAAATGTGATTGCTTAGTAAATGATTTTAAACATTCCATACACTGATGTTGCTGGTTCTCTTTTTGTGTCGAGGTGTGCTGTTTCAGCTTTGGTTGCAAGGTTAACATTTCATTGTTTGTTCGGTCGGTCGTGATGCTACTTTCGCATTGGTCTTCTTTGGCTGCAGTTTGTACAAGTCGAAAGTTTGCGTTGGAGTCCTTACAAAGCTCAATGAAGTAATATATTTTACACATCATATCGACACAGTCTATGCAAAGATGTTGTGGTAAACCATCACTCTGGGAGATCTTAAAGGGATTAGTTAATATACATTTTAAGAACAAACACAAATTTCTAACCTCAATTGCGGTCAAGTTGTATATAAAGTCGACCATTTGTATTGAGTCTCCATTCCATATTTGTATTTCAAAAATGGATAATAAATCTTCTTTTTCGGACATGCAAGTGCGGCAAGTGTTCTTAAATTTTTCAGCTTCCATTGTACAAAAAAACCTAAATAAACATTACGCAAAGACCCTTTTAAATTGAATGGATGTTCATTGACTTGCAGATGTGTTGCAGATTGACTCCCTCGGTACTGCGCAAACGCAAGCGCGCTTAAATTTGAATTTGTTTTAACGCACTAATTAATAAAATCTTCGGTCATCACTGTGAATTCCAGTTACATTTTATAGCCCCAACTTGAAAGCAACCGTCACGATCTTTTACACTTTACAGCATAATATGGAATAAACAACAAGAATTGTAACGTTATTAAAATCAAACTAACGGTTTTGTGCCCCCAAGAGTCCCAAGACCAGAAACCTTTGATTCAACAACCCAAGGTTCTTGAATGAGAGCAATGTCCTACTTTACAGTGAGGTGTCTGCCTAAGGTTTATGGCTTATGCAGCGTTGCTAGAATCAGACTCCATATTCACAAACTCCTTAAAATTTGAAATAAGCCCGGGTGAACTGGCCACAAGTTGCCTCAACTGTGATGCTTAACCGTAGCTTCTTGCATTTTGCCCCTGTAGCAGCTGCTAGTGCTGTTGTGGTGATTGTACTTCAGGTTCGGAAGGTTTTTTTTTGGAGCTGTGGAAGCACCTCCACCTTCTTCCATGGCTTGAGAAGTGATGGAACTGGATTTTTTAGGGTATTATCTGCGCTCCCATATGAGGAGATAACTCGAGGCATAACTGCCCTGCTCCCTTTTCTGGGCTTCTCGCTTTGAACTTGCCAGCGCTTCTGAGGGTACCGTTTGATTTTTCAGCTTCGTTTGGATTATACCCAGCAGCCTATGAGTTTTTTGAACCGCATAAAAATATTGGGGAGATCGTAGATTTATTTATTAATAATTTTAGCCCAAACGAGAGCAACGAATCTTCTCATCAAAATATCCACGAAAATATCTTATGGTAATTGTAGGAACAGTCTGAGCCATCCCCTCTAGCGTACCAAAATGTTATGCTAGGTGTAAGGAAAGGAATGCTGAATTTTCATTTCCTGGGTAGGTATTCCAGACACCCCCCCCCCTTCTGCATTCTCCCCCAAAATATTTAATGGTTTTAGCACTTACACCATAACGTTTAAGAAAGGACCACGAACCATAACACCGCAAGTCTGTGGGGTAGGGAAAGGAAGGTTTGATCGTCTTTTATAATAAATTGTCATGGGTGCCTTTAGGGCTGAATGTTTTTAAACAAGAACGCAGTACCGGAAGTCAAAAAATTCCACAAAAATCTAACGATTGATGAACTGAATTTGTTTCAGGGGGGGTCCTTAAATGACACGGACATTCGCCCACGTATATGATGGATGTATGTATACCAATAAAGGGGAAACAGAGAAGTTACTTTCGCCATTTCTGTGTTAAAACGTTTTGCAATAGCAACAGTTTTTAGATCTTGGGAAGTAAATTTGCCATCGTTTTAGAATTCCGAAAATAACTAGTATACAGAAAGCCGGATGCATTTGATTGGACCATTTTTTGAAACGGGCGAATCGGAGCGAGTCTTGCAGCTGTGACGTCATAATCACTAGTCGTCACGTGATCAATTATGTCGTTGCTGCCGTTCCGAGCGTGTTGTATTTTTTCGGTTTTCTGCTAATTTACGAAGTGCGATATTAAAATAAACTTAAAAAAAGTCAAAAAAGACGGGTATAATTGTGGCAAATAGTTCGTCTCGGTCCATCATACGTTAATCGGGGTTTAAACGTAATGTTAAACTACAAAAAGTTATGGCGTCCCTTCTCCTTTTCGTTCGAATTTAAATCGGCCTTTGCGTATATGATCTCATGATGCGACCACGTAAATTTTGATTATGTTGTTAAATTCAACCCTTAAAGTAAAAAATTCACAAATCGGTGTTCTGTTAAATGTTATCGGAAGAACAAGAAGATGGCGTCCTATTTTAAATTCAGAATCCTTAAACTATAATGTGCTCCGACGGTTACACATTTTATTTGAGATAGCGTAGTACGGGGTGGTCTAGGGGGTGGGGAATATCACCCAGTATACGGTGGTTCGTATGGCACCTTTGCTAATAGGTAATCGTTCCTCTGTTGCTGGGGGGATTCCGTACTTCTCAGATTTCCCGGTATTGCGTTCTCAGTTGCGGTAATGGGTATGGGAATGCTGGGGCGCAGAAATGGACATGGAGAATGGGGTGGTATTGGTGATGGGTATGGGATTGGAGCGCGGGCGCGGAAATGGACACTAGGAATGGGAATGAGAATCCTTAAACTATAAAGTGCTCCGACGGTTACACATTTTATTTGAGGTAGCGTACGGGGTGGTCTAGGGGGTGGGGAATATCACCCAGTATACGGTGGTTCGTGGCACCTTTTTTAACTAAATTTGATCTACGCGTGTTTGTCGACTAAGATGCACTTTCGATGCAAGATGCAAGCTCAATCCCGAATTAAGAGGTCAAGGAAACAGCAGTTGGGGCTGCAATCGAACACAAAACTACGTGGGGCGTTATTAAAAACAATGAAGGTTCCCGAGCCAGTAGGTACATTACAAATATTAATCGCAAATTGTAAACTACTCGTTACTTTTATTATTTATGCCTGATAGTTACGCAACACGCAAATACGCGTTTGTATTGTTAAATTCTTCAAATGTAGGTAGGTATAACGTATAACATTTAGGTAACATTTTTCAGAAATTGCTCTTTCTACATAAAACTCAAACCGCTTTACATCTATAATTTACTGATCGCACAATTTAAGGATTGCCTATACTCCTTTTCGAAAGACTTAATTCTTGTGCGATTCAGAACTACAATTACTTTTATACCTACAAGAATGAAGTAATCAGTGTGTACCTACACATATTTTTCAAAAATGTTTCAGAACGAATTTGCATGAAATGGAATTAAAATAACACCCTAAAGATTTTTTAATTCATGTATGTCCAGCTCATTTCCGTGCAGATGAAGTGAAAATCCGAAAATTGTAATGACAATTATAATAATTATCGCAGAAGGGTAGGTGTGTTGTAACATTTTAGTTTTAAGTATCTACTTATACACTGCATTTCTTGGTTTCCATTTGGAAAGCTCTAAATTCTATGAAACAACGGCATCATGTGCTGATATTCACACCAAAAAGATGTCAACACTTTACCGCTATTATGTTAAATGCGGAAACCTTTTATCGGAAATCAATTAAAAGCAATTCGTGGTCGTGGTTTCTTGCCAAGATCACAGCTGATAAAAGAACCAGGATAAAAGTTCGACTTTTCTTGCATTTCCTTCAAGATTCCCACCAATCGCTCTCTTCGCGCACTAATTTTATAGACATTATAATAGGATTATTTTTTTTTCGTATAGGTACTTGGAGAAGGTTCTGCATGTGACGTTGTTTATATAGTTACATACTTCAGATATGAAATCAGCTAACAAAACTGCAAAAGTGCTAGTGGTTTTGACGTTCGAAGCTCACATGCGGCCCCTGTTTACTTTCGAGCCCACTTCAACTCATCTTCTACTTTCAACTTTGGCGTTACATTAACCGTTCTCGTGATTTCGATACAGCTGTTACTATGGGAGGGTGTTTATTTCTGTTTTGCGCACACATTTCTTTCATTAACTGAAATCTTGATCGAATATGCAATTTGTTGCTAAAGCAGCTTGGTTTTTACCGAGGTATTTACAAAAATATCTACGACGTCGTTGCGGTATCGATCGAGTGCAAATAAGGACTCGCTATTCAAGTACCTATAAAACAATATTATAATTAATACGAAATTATTTACCTATTTATTTCATATTTGCTCGTGTATGATTATAGTACCTATTTGGTGGCAAATTTACCACTTTTACATCAAGCTTGTTTTCGAATAAACTTCGTGCGATTTTGAGACATATGTGTTTCGACGTTTCTCTTACAAGAAATAGTGTTTGGAATTCATCGGTTAATCCGATTTTCTTCATTAGGAACTCAATACCTACTAATTGATTGCCGAATTAATGTAGTATAGTAGTGGTTTATCAATTTCTGAGCTCATTGCATAGGATCATCCGGTAGTGAAACCTGTGCCATTGGTCTAATTTTCATATTTGCTTGCATTTTATCGAATCATTAACGTTCAAACACCGATTGATTTCCACCGAATTGAGTCAATTGTCAGCAGTCAGCACGCAATTGCTCCTGTACAACCATAGATAGATAGATTGCTTCTGGAGGGCGTAGTCTGAACCGGTTGGGCGGTTTACTCGAAGATACCATAAATTCGACTTTATCATCTGATTTAATTGATGAAGAATCCGATAAATCAGATTCAGATGAGTCTTTAACAGTTGAAGCACCAGCTACATCACTTAAGTTAAGAGTACTGTAAGTGACTATAATAGCGTCTTCCAACATGAATTGAAAAATGCTCTAAAAATGTGAGAAATTGCGCTTTGAAACTCATCATTAATAACTTTTTGACACCTTGTATTAGAATATTTCAAACCTTGAGACCGTAGGTACTGTACGTTTCGTAGACAACCGAAGTATATAATTCACCAAAAAAAATCGAAAGAACGCTTTGTGATTAGTTAAAATGCTGAATATGTATATACTTCTGCTAAATGAATTTTTTCAAACGAAATTTTAAGGGCTTTCAGAACGAAGTACCATCTGCACCCCTTTTCTGTATTTTAAGTTTTATTCCAGCACACATAGATTTAATTCAACGAAAAAGATCCAAAAGCCCACTTCAAAATAAAATGGACTTTTTTTAAAAATATTTTTAGAACATCCACAATTACTGGAATATTCGGGGTGGAACGTTTTAAAAGAGACACGCTGTATGTTTGGAAAAGTCTTCGTGTACAGCTAACTTCAACGCTACGCGGTATATAATTTCTTTCAAAAAGGGTGTAATTTGCGTCTTAAATGGTTTTAATACGCACCTGGTTGGGACTTAATGAATAAATCTGTCGCCGCATTTTGATTCATTTAGCTCCACAAAAATATGTTGGGCTCTTTTCCTCTAAATCTACTTTATATGTAACACACGATTTCCAGAAGGGTAATTTTTGCCACTCAGCTCTTTGAACTCGTTAAAATCGATTGG